CCCCTCGGCCCTACCCTCCCCCCCCCCCCCTTACCCCCCCCTACCCCCCCCTACCCCCCCTCACCCCCCCTAACCCCCTCTCTTACCCCCCCCCCTCCCCCCCCCCGCCCCCCCCCCCCCCCCCCCCCCCCCCCCCCCCCCCCCCCCCCCGCCCCCCCCCCCCCGGCCCCCGCCCCCGCCTGTCTCGCCGCCTCACGCCGTCCTGCAATCTGTCGCCAAATGACCTGCTCGCCAGCGTCGGTCATTACTTGTATGTAGTTAGTTCGTCAACTCCGTACTGTAGTTAATTAGTTATATAACCACTCGCACTCCTCCTGTAACTACTACGTCTATCATACTGCAGCCTGCTCGATCGCCCACATGGCCTCCCTGCGCCGATCGCCCATCGCCCATCGACGATCGCCCGCCGCCCCAAGCCCCCCGCCAAGCGCGCGGCGTTGCTTCGGCCCAACGTTCGCCCTGCTACGGAGTACTAGTACGGAGTACTGCATCTCTACTCGTACTCCATCCTGCGCCCATCCGCCCGTCGACTCGTACGGAGTACATCCTCCACCTTATAGCCACTACTAGTACTCACTCACCTGCCAACCGGACATACCGCCGGCTGCCCGCTGTTTCGCGTTTTGTTTCGCGGCTGGCGGCTCCCGCCGATCACACGCTTGCCCCCTGACTCGGCCGGCCCTGCGAAGTTACATCCGCATATTATTATTATTATTCTTGTATGATTATGACCTAATATACTATGTATCGACGTATACGCTCTATCTGCGACGCCTCACATCTTGTACTATGTATCGACGTAAACGCTCTATCTGCGACACCTCACATCTTATACTATGTATCGACGTATACGCTCCATCTGCGACGCCTCACATCTATACTATGTATCGACGTATACGCTCCATCTGCGACGCCTCACGTCTCCTCACGCCGTCTCCTCCGCGCCTGGCTTGTCGTCCACCGCCGCCGCCTGCGCCGCCCGCCGCTCGTCGCGCGCCGCCAGGTACATCACGCCCGCCGTCCACAGCGCCATCGCGATCGAGCACCCGATCATCGCCCACATCCCCATCTGCGCCCCAGTCAGCATGCTCCGTCCAAAAAATATAAAAAAAGACCACCCACCGTGAAGAACGGCGCCATGTCGGCCCCGTAGAACAGGATGCTCCACCACGCGTTCACCACGTTGCTGCCCATGTTCATGCTGGCGATCACCACGCTGCGCAGCGCGTCGTCGTGGTACCGCATCACGTCGTTGGCCCACGCGAAGAACGTCGCCTGGCACGCGTACACCGACCCGGCCCAGTAGTACGCCGCGAACACCGTCGGCGTCGACGCCCGCGGCGCCAGGATCATCGCCGACGTCGCCACCCCCGTCACCGCGATCCAGAAGCCCACCAGGTACCGCCGCCCGCCCAGGAAGTCCGTCAGCGTCGCCCAGAACAGCGTCGACACGATGCCCACCGCCGCCACGCCCGTCGGGTAGTTGTTCAGCTGCGCCACCGTGTACCGCCGCGTCGGGTGCGCCTTCATGTACAGCGCCAGCAGCGCGTTGGTCGAGAACGACTCCGTCTCGCCCGCGATCACCCACAGCATCACGAACCCGTACCAGTGCCACCCGCCAAACACCCGCCGCGCGAACCCCCAGTCCAGCCGCGGCCGCTCCGCCGGCGCCTCCGGCACCCGCGAGATTGCCAGCGCCCGCTCTGCGTCGCTCAGGTACGGCGCCGTCGTTGTGCGCGGCGTGTCCGGGAACAGGAAGAACCCGTACAGCGCGATCGGCACCGTGATCAGCCCGTCGACCTACATGTCGTTATTAATCCGTTCGTAGGATGGGAAGACCGAGGATCATGATTAGGAGGGAATGATCATGACAGGAATACCCACGATGAACAGCCAGCGCCAGCCCGGCAGCCCGCGCGCGCCGTGCAGCGACGAGTTGATGCCCGTCTGGATGAAGCCGCCGAACATGGTGCCGGCCAGGCCCGACGCGGTGAAGATGCCGCTGCGCTTGCCCAGCTCGCGCTCGGTGTACCACGAGCCCAGGATGTAGTGCGTGCCCACGAAGGTCGACGACTCGGCCAGCCCCAGGAAGAAGCGGATGGCCATGATGGCCTGCGGCGACTGCACCGCCGCCGTGACCATCGTCAGCCCGCCCCACAGCAGCATCATGGCCGGGAAGAAGAGCCGCGGCGGCACGTACGTCAGCGCCAGGTTGGACGGCACCTGGCCCAGGATGTAGCCGACCGTGAAGATGGTGTTGATCAGGTTGAACTGCCGCCCGTGGAACGCCAGGTCCTCCTTCATGCCCGACACGTACGCGTTGGCCAGGTTGGAGCGGTCCAACTAAATATGTGAGTTAGCTGTCACTGATAGATTGAAGGGTCTGATTGAAGGGCCGGGGTAGTTACGTAGTTGGCGAAGTACATCAGGCAGCAGAAGGACAGGATGAAGAAGTCGAGTTTGCGCAGCAGCGCCGCCTCGCCGGGCCGGCTGTCGCCGCGCACGTAGGCCGCGAACGAGCGCATTGTGGGTGGTAACTGCTCGGGCTGAGGCTCGCGCGTCGAGGCCGCCAGACAGCCAGGGCGCTGCAGATATAGGATGTTTCCCCGCGGCGCGGCAACCGAGGGGGTCAAGCTCCGGCCGAGACGGCGGGCGCACTCGGCGGGCCGGTCGAATCAGCGCGCAGGCTGGCCGGCACTAGCGCGCGGTAAGGCGCGATAGCCGCGGGCCGGACGCATATCGGAGGCAGGCCGGAGCGCAGGCCGGTAGTTGTCGGATGTTATAAGAGATCAGGCAGACATCGCACGGCTAAACACCATCGTGGCATATATCCATTATTATTTTCCTACTCCCGACCATGACCACGGAGTGGGAGCGCATCGCGGCGGCCAAGCAGCGCAAGCTGGCGGCGGCGATTCCGGCCGAATGGCGCATCCCCGACGACCTGCTGCCAACGGGCCCCAACGTGCTGTCGTTCCCGCAGCAGTCCGGCTGGTTCACGGCGCACGAGCTGGCCATCACGAACGCCGGCGCGTGTGAGATCCTGGCGCAGACGCGCTCGGGCGCGTGGACGGCGGAGGAGGTGACGCGGGCGTTCTGCAAGCGCGCGGCGGCCGCGCACCAACTGGTAGGACGGCCCCTGTTCCCGCACCAGCACCTGCTAACCGGATGCAGACAAACTGCCTGTCGGAGATTCTCTTCGATGACGCGGTGCGCACGGCGCAGGCGCTGGACGCGCAGCTGGCGGAAACGGGGACGCCGCGCGGGCCGCTGCACGGGCTGCCGGTGTCGCTGAAGGACAACTTCCACATCGCGGGCACGGACGCGACGCTGGGCTTCACGGCGCTGGTGGACCGGCCGTCGGCGTGCAACAGCATCCTGACAGACGTGCTGCGCGCGGCGGGCGCGGTGCTGTTCGTCAAGACCAACGTGCCGACGGCCATGATGATCGCCGAGACGGTCAACCACGTGACGGGGCGCACGTGCAGCCCGCGTGACCGGCGGCTGGCGGCGGGCGGCAGCTCGGGCGGCGAGGCGGCGCTACTGGCGTGTGGCGGCAGCGCGCTGGGCGTGGGCACCGACATCGGCGGGTCGCTGCGCATCCCCGCGGCGCTGACGGGCGGGCTGTTCGCGCTGCGCCCGTCGGTCGGCCGCTTCCCCAACAGCGCCACGCAGTCGGCGCTGGCCGGCCAGGAGTCGGTGCTGAGCGTCAACGGCCCGCTGGCGCCGTCGCTGGACGCGCTGGAGCTGTTTGCCGCCGCCGTGGTGGGCTCGCAGCCGTGGCGCGCCGACCCCAAGTGCGTGCCGCTGCCGTGGCGCCCCGTGCCCGCCCAGCAGCGCCTGCGCGTCGGCGTGCTGTGGCATGACGGCCTGGTGCGGCCCACGCCGCCCGTCGCGCGCGCGCTGGCCGAGACCGTCGACGCCCTCAAGCGCGCTGGCCACGACGTCGTCGACTGGGCGCCCGACGGCCACGACGACGCTGTCGAGCTGCTGGACCGTTTCTTCCTGGCCGACGGCGGCCAGTCCGTGCAGGCGCTGCTGGCGCGCACCGGCGAGCCCATGCGCCCCGAGATGGCTCGCTATGCCACCGCCGCCGACCCGGGCGTGTACGCGCTGTGGCAGCTGCACGCCCGCCGCAACGCCCTGCAGCTGGCCTACCTCGCGCGCTGGAACGCCGCCGGGCTCGACGCCCTCTTGTGTGCGTCATTTCGTATTCTCCTAGTTATCTATCCTCTTAAGTATCCTCCGCTGACCCCCTCCAGGCCCCGTGTGCCCGTTCGCCGCCGTGCCGCACGGCAAGTTCCGCCACGTCGGCTACACCGGCGTCTTCAACGTGCTCGACTACGCGTGCCTGGCCTTCCCCTGCGCCGCCACCGCCGACCAGGCCCGCGATGTCCCCGATACCCGCCCACCGCTCTCCGACCTCGACCGTCTCGTCCAGCTCGAGTGTATGCCATATTTCTCTATCTCTCCCTCTACTCTTCTAATTACTTACCCTTGCAGACGACCCCGCCGCCGTGCACGCCATGCCCGTCAGCCTGCAGCTCGTCGCCCGCCGTCTCGACGAGGAGCGCCTGCTTATGATCGCCCGCCGCGTCCTGGACGCCCTGTAGATTTATCGCTGTACGGAGTAGATGGAGTATTATTGTCTCACCCTGCATGTAGATAGGTAGTTACACCACATAGACGTCTCGTCTCGAATACGGGACTACCACTTTTTCATTGCGGCAACGCCAACCCGCACTCCCGGGGCATTAACTACGCGCGCATCATTCATCGTAACTACACAACCTGACCACCAACCATCACCATCACACCCTCACATGTCCATCGTATCCCCGCCGTTCGCAAAGTTGAACGCCGCCCCGCCCGCCGCCGCCGCCCGGTTGGTCCCCAGCGTGAACCCCGCCTGCGTCTGCTGCGGCGCCACCTCGTCGATGTCCGCTCCCGCCTCTTCCTCGTCCGAGAAGTACCGCTCGATGATGTTGTACGCCTTCATGTAGATCTCCTCGTTTGCGTTGTTCTGGCACTCGTGCACCTTCTCCATGCCTCCCGCCTCCTCGATGAACAGCGCGTACCGGTTCACGCTCGTCGCCCCCATCTCCCCGCTCTCCTTGTCCAGCTCGCCCACCTTCAGGATGTTCTCCAGCCCGTCCAGCGCCACCTGGATGATCTTGTTGTCCGGGCACGCCAGCAGGTCGCACAGCGGCTTGATGCACCCCTGCGACACCAGGTACCGGATCTGGTCCGGCTTCTGCAACCCTCCCGACGTCGCGTTCGAGATCGCCCAGCACGCCTCCTTGCGCGTCTTGAAGTCGCCGTTCGACAGCAGGTTGATCAGCGGCGGGATGATGTTCGCGTCCACCACCGCCTGGATCTGCGTCGAGTTGCCCGCTGTGATGTTCGAGATCGTCCAGCACGCCTCCTTGCGGATCCCATCCTTGGTCGAGCTCAGCAGAGAGAGCAGTGCCGGCAGAGCCCCGCAGTTGATGATCACCTGCGTCTGGATGTCGTCGCCCGTAACAATGTTGCCCACCGACCGCAGCGCCGGCGTCTGCACCGACGTGGACGCATGGCTGAGCAGCTCCACCAGCCGTCGCGGGATGCCCGCCTCAATCACCGCCTGGATCTTGTCGTTCGCTCCGTCCGACAGATACGAGATTGCCCAGCAGGCATCGATAAGCACCTCGTCGTCAAACATGTAAACCAGTTTGGCGAGCACTGGCAGTGCAGGCAAGATCTACATCACGTGAGCTTTTTTCTTCAGGGTCCTTGGACAGGGGGGGGGGGGGGGTTCCCCAAAGGGCGAGGTTTAAACTTACTGTTGGCCAGTCCGGCTGTGGCGTCTTTCCACGACAGAAGTTGCTCAGGGTCCAGGTAGCGTTGCGGAGCATGCTGAGCTTGCGGCCCTCGCTGATCAAGGCAAGGAGCGGGCGCAGAGCTCCAGCCGACAGCACAAAGTCACGGCATGACGGGCTGTCTCCAGCAATATTACCCAGCGCCCACACAGCTTGTTCACGCACATCAGGCTCAGGGCTGCTCAAAAGCTCGACAAAAATAGGGACTGCGCCCGTCTCAATAACCACTTGAGTCTGCTGGGCAGACCCAGACGCGATGTTGGTCAAGGCCCACGCAGCTTCAAACTGAACCAGGGAGTGGGGGGATCGCAGGAATTCGACGAAGCGGCTTACGACGCCGGTTTCAATAACGCGTTCGATCGGGGGGTTGCGCTCTTTAGAGAGCAGTTTTCGAAATTTAGTTGTAGCTGAAATTTGTTCTTCAATTTTGTCCGAGAAAACGCCCTTCACCATCTCGGGAAGCTCCGAGTCGAGCTACAAAGTGAGAAAAGAGCAACCCCATGTCAGTTTTTCTCAAATACAATAAATCTAAGAATAGCGCGGAAAAAAGGAGGGCAGTCAGGAGTAAGGCGTTGTAAAATTGGCACCAATACCCGTTGGCTGCCCGCCCCGCACCGCTGAAACGGTGACGACGGCGAAGGAGCGAGAGGCAGCCTTGGGCAGCAGCCTGGGTCTGAAGACGTGGACAGATGGGATTACATACCTCAGTTTCTACAGGGGCACCCTCTTCATCACTATCCAAGCCGGCCATGCCGGGCTCCACGCCGACCTGACCATTGCGAGTCTGGATGCCTCGACGTTTGGCGAGGTTCTCCTCTCTTCGCTGCTTTCGAATCTCAATCTGCTGTTCTCCACGACGGCGACGCAGGTCCTCGGGCTTGAACGAGCTCTTAGCTTTGAATTGAGTGCGGCGATGCTCCGGGATATATCTGTCAGCCATGGTGGAGTCTGAGGATAATCCGGATGACGGCGGGAGAAAGGGGAAGGAAGCAAGCGATGGAAAGCACAAACGAAAAACGATAGATATCGTGATGCAAGTAAGACAGTAGACACAGGCTCAGAGCCCTCCAGCAAGCACAACGCGCGGTGGATGCAGACGAGAAAGGCGGGCTCAAAAGGCGTTGATGGCGAGCGACGATGTTTTTGTTTCTTCTTGCGGCAAGTGGGCGGGCTGCCGCTAGCCCGCTTTGGGCGCTTATGTCAGCCGCAACTTTCCACGCGAAGCATCGCAACCACGCTCGCGCACCAGCGCGGTTTCACGTCGTGTCGCACGTCTGCTCCAGGCTCTCGCTGTGGGCTGGATGCGTGCTGATTTATGTTTGAGAAAGCTGCCTGTCGCGTCTGCCTCTCGACGCGTCGTGCTCCCTACCGGCTCCGTATCTATGATACATTTAGCTTACCAGCATGCTGTTCACTATCACCTTGAGATAACAGGCCTCTCCTCAGGCCATGCTGGGCTGAGCATCTGTTATTGAGCAATTCTCGAAGTATGGCGGATCCGCTGCCTCCCGGCTTTATAGATATCCCTGCCGCGAAACGCCAACAACGCGGCGTCGTCAATGTTATCGGCGTCGTGATTGATACCCTTCCCCCCAAGAAGTGTGCGGGCTCATCCTACGTCTCCACGTTTACTCTGAAGTCGTCCGACTTTACCTCCGAGTATTGGTATGGCTTGAAAATCCGCTACTTCAGTGACCGGGAGGCCTGTTCCCCCAAGCCAGATGTTGGCGACGTGCTCCTTTTACGCGGCCTTCATGTACGGCCCTTACCTTCCTTGGTGTGTAAACCTCCATAGTACTAATTGTGCCTATACAGCTCACTACCTACAACGACAATGTCTGTGGCCTCTCTAGGGCAACGGATAACACTCCATGGGCAATCTTCAGGAAAGACCCAAAGATCTCTTTAAGATTATCCGTCATTAAACCACCCGGTGTGAGTAGCAAGGTCTCTTCTATAGAGACTGCCTGTGCCCGTTCTCTTTCTGCACTTTTTTCCGATGAAGCAATCAAAAGCACCAAGTCTTCCCATTCTCCTAGCACACGATCACAATCCCACTCAGCAAAACCCAAATCGGGGAGATTCTCGCTTCTGAAAGATGCAAACTTCAACACGTTCGTGGATATAGTCGGCCAGGTGGTGAAGACATTTTCAGAGTATGAGAGATATACCCTGTATGTTACAGACTATACCCAAAATAAGAATTTTTTTGACTATGCACAAGACTCCGATGGGAGGGATGGCGACGATTTTAGTTATCTCAGTCACTCGAAGCGAAAATGGCCAGGCCCATATGGGCGCATGACAATTCAAATCACACTGTGGGAACCTCACGCTGATTTTGCGCGAAAAAATATAAAAGAGGATGACTTTGTTCTTCTGTGCAATGTCCATATTAAACCAGGACGAGGCAATGCATTTATGGAGGGTGCTCTTCATACAGACCACCAATACGCCGATAAAATTTGTGTTCACCCCGTCGATTTCAACGCGCCCGATGACAATTTGACGGCACTGGTAAAACGTAAGCAACAGTATTGGAAGGGACTGAAAACTCGTTTGGGGAAAGACACTGAAAAACACCGGCTTCCTGATAACGAAAACTCGAGCAACAACGCTAAGAGAAACAAAAGACAAAACAAAAAGAAAGCCCTGAAGGGGGATAACCAAGCCAGCGTCAAACCTTCCAGTGTCATAAAACGCGACGAACTAAACTCTCACAGTAAGTATGTATTCTTCTGCCATAGCCTTGAAAACTAACCGCCACGAGTTCGTGCAAATTTCATCGCGACACCAACCAGGACAATAAAGCAGATCTTAGAGAACGAATCCCATTGGAACACGGGCCCGGACGGTATAAAATACCAGCTACCATTTCAAAATTTGAAGTATCGAGCATCAATCCGGGTAGTCGATTTTTTTCCCCCAAACCTCGAGGACTTCGCTGTTCAACACAACCCTGAACTGGCTATTCTTGGAGATGATTCTGACTTGAACCATAGCGATGAAGAGCCAACAACTAATAGACAAATATGGCAATGGAGGTTTTGTCTACTTGTTGAAGACGGTGGCCCCAATGCGCATCATCCTCCAGGACAAAGGCGAGAGCGCTTGAAGCTCTTTGTAGCAGATGCCGATGCTGTATTTCTTCTTTCTCTCGATGCGGTAAAGTATGTTCCGTCCGAAAACATCATATGTTTCACCGTCACAAGTTTGATAGACTAATGTGCATATGCTTGCCAGCCTTCGCGAAAATCCCGAAGTTCTCGCTGAGCTGCGTGAAAAGCTCTTCATCCTTTGGGGTGACTTAGAAGAGCGCAAGAGCGCATACCCTGATACTTTCGTTGTTAGTGACCCTGGCTCCATCAATACGAAACCTTTTATTTGCTGTATCAAAGAGTACGGTGTTCCTCTTCGCTCCGAAGCCTCCTCTGAAGCCAACGAAGACGGCATGGATACAAGTAGCCTGTTGGGCTGGGAGAAACGTTTTCGCATGTTCGATACCAGCATCATGTAGCTATCCACCCTATCCCGTGTTCTATATTCCCGTGTCCAGACGGCTGCCGCTGCCGTCCACTACAGATCGGATCCGAAAATTCATTGCCATAGTGCTCTATGAAAACTACTATCAACTGCGTAACTCTGGTGACGTGGTGGCCATATAGAATTCGCCCTTATCAGCCTTTTACTGTTCAAAATCTGACATCTACGTGCTTTATCGACCTACAAGCTCCATACGTCAGGAACCGCCATGTCCTTCTGCCGTTACCAATATTCTAGCTGGCGGCTTGACTACAACGTGCACGCCATAAGTCCTTGACGTGACACGGTCTCGTTATGTCTGATACAGAAAGTTGTTGTATGGATGTTTCATTTTTCTCTCCTATTCTGCAAGCCAAGTAAGAAGGGCATTTTGGGAAATTAAACAGGTCGCCATTCCTACCTGCTAGCAAATATACACCACATTGGATCTGTTTCTTACTGGGCGAAAGTGCTAAACCCATGAGATAGATGCCTGCGAGAAGCAGAATGTTAAGATCGAGTAGAATATCAGAGTAGAAGAACCCGATTTTTACCTTGCAACGGCTGCTAGTAAGTGCTTCGAAATAGCGCTGCCCACAAATCCCAATGCATGCACAGCTGGAAGATTGGTTGATTATATGAATTAACATTCTAGCTAATAATGCACATGCCGATGCTATTTATTCCCTCTGCTCTAATCAAAATTAGTGAAACCGTGACTGGGTAAATTCCCAGATCAGGAACCAAACTAAGCAGTGAGAGATGTCTTAAAACTAATATCACACTCGCTTCGAATATATTATATAGTATGAGTAATATATAAATGCAAATTTCAAAAGAGAACTTACGGTTACACTTTCGTAACCCTGACGACATTGGTGTCAATTCCATGCCCAGAACTGTCAAATCGACAATTCTCCCCCCAGTAGCAGTCCTTTTTACCGATCTCGCTCTGCGGACACCGATGGCCGTAGATACATGTCGCATCGTCGCACTCTGTTCCAAAATGGCACGGTGTCATTCTAGCTACAGCCTGTAGAACTACTCGTTCATTCTTCGTAAGCTTGTAGTCGTGTGTATGATAGCAACTTAGGTTAGGGCATTCGCCGAGTAGAAAGTATTGATTGCATAATTTTAACCGTTTGACTCGCTTCAGCTCATCTTTCGGTATGGTTTTGAAATCTAAGGAATCGACCCGCTGGCCAAATTTATTGCGCTCAACCTGACGAGGTGCCGGCGTTCCAGGTTTTGAATGGGCAGTTAAATCCGTTAATGGAGTAGATGCTGCTGCGGCAGTCGTAGAGGCCCATGTTTGTCCAGAAGCTGGCGATGCACTAGAATTTGAGCTGGCCCTTACAAGGCTAGGGTGGGGAGATGCTGGCTGAGCTTGAGCTGTAATAGGCAGCGACTTGACAGTGTTAGTCCAAACATCTAAGGAAGAACCGTTATTATGGGGAATTTTAGAAATCCTGAAAAGCGTATCAAGCTTTGCCACGCGATAGGAAGATTTTATAGATGCGAGTTCTTTCTCAAATGGCACGCCCTCTAATAGAGTTATTCGGCCAAGGAGCTCTCGATCTGCCAATAGATCTTCAAGAATACGGGCGTAGCCATTATCGTGCGAACAACCAAGAAATACTTGTTGGCAGTGACAATTGTATAAGTTTAGTTTAAAATACTCTGTCGGAAATGTCAGCCGCATGGGTGAACATAAGGTAAACCAGCTATACCTGCAATTTTATCATCCGCTCTATCTTTCCCACTTCCAACGTCTACGAAGTCAAACAGCAATTTACTGCCATTGAATCCGCGGACAAAATCCTCTATGATTGCTGGTCGTTCAACTATCCCAGCTTTAAAACATGCCTCGGCTAAGCCTCTGACGTTGGCATATATTCTCGTCACAATTTTGGGAGACTGTAACGTTGAAAGATTTCGACTCGAATATTCACGAATTAAAGCATACAGATGATTTGCTGCATCTTTACCGCCTTGCTCTCCCTGTTGGAGCAGTGTATCGTTAAAGATCATACCATCACCGTCGATCATTACCAGAAGAAACGGCTCTTGATCCTAAGGAAGAACAGTGGTTAGTATCACCTCTAGCAGTATAAATATAGAGTAGAGCATACCATAACAGCTTTAATTCTAGTTATTTGTTCCATAAGTTCAATTTCATGCATCTGTACCTCCCGGTTGAATCGGGTTTCTCTTTCATGGTCAAGTTTAGTCTGTTGATAGGCTTTCTCTAACTCAGAAACGCGACAAAGTAGGTCCTTGAAAAAGAGAATCAGAAGGAATTTAGCAGAGTACGTTCTTAGCGAATAGGTGTAGAAACCTCAATCAGCGCATCTTTGGTATGTTCAATGACTTTCAGCTGCTCATAACGCTGGAAAAGACCCGGGATTCCGGTGCCTGTCATTTTCAAACTTATCGAGTTGCTAGAACCACGAATAGTAGCCAGGATCTCAAAAAGCGCTCTGTTGCGCTTCGGGTTCGACGAAAGGGCGAGTTGTCCTGCACCGGAGCTTGCCGTACACGCCGGAGCCGATTTACGCGCCTAATCCGACGCCGGCTTATGTAACAGCCGCGGATGCTGACTCAGCGACCCTTTCTGGTGTACGTGGAGACACTCGAATCAGTTCTGCAATTCCCGGTCACTTTCGGTTGCACTGCAGTTTTCGAGTTCCTTTACTCTCTTCTCTTGGGTTGCTTTGGAATATTTTCAGCATGGGTAAATTTGCTTTTCTTGCCATTGCCCTCTTGTCTGTTCAGGCATTGTTGGCTCAAGCTGAAGATGCCACGGTAAGCACCCATTCCGGTCTCCTTGCTTGCCTGGACTATAATTTACTAACCTACATCTCATTCAAAGCCCGATTCCCCTGTAAATGTTGCTGAAGATGCGGTGAAAGAGATGCCCACAATCAATGTTAATGTGTCTACAACCTTCCCTAACTCCGAGGTGTTTGGCGTGAAGCTCGTCAATGGCCTGCCCACCAACGCGCAGCTTAAATTCATAAACAATGAACCGGAACCAGTCACTGTTAGCGTTATTGGTGGCAGCCTTTGGACCCTGTCGACTCCTGCGCAAAACGTTCGTAACCTTACGACGTCCCGACCCGGTATCGAAGTTGCTAGCAATTCCGAAGCAACGATCGGTTATGATATTTCGACCGAACTATTGCCGCAAGACTTGGCTCTGAATCTGGCAGCCGTTGTATCGCGAAAAGATGGTCTTCTTTTCACGATTCCGGCATTTGATGGACCTGTCAGCATCGTGGAACCCGCAATGAGTATCTTTGATCCTCAAGTGTCAGTTGCTACTATCTTCCTTAATTCCAACCTATCAGTACTAATGTTGACTAGGATTTTTCTCTATGTTGTCGTTTTGGGCTCCTTCGTCGGAGCTTGCTACCTATTCTACACTCTTTGGATTGCTCCGTATTTCCCCCAAAAGCGCAAGCCTGTCAAGACCCACGATCGCACAAAGAAATCTTCTCGCGACCAGATTGGTGTTGATTCCGGCGACCAAGCTCCCGAGACTCCCGCAGTTGCTAAATCATACGATACTGAATGGATCCCCGCCCATCACATTAATCGCCCTGAAGCGCGAAAGGTCAAAAGCGGCAGCGGTAAAGCGAAGAATAGAGCATAGGATACCACCTTTTTCGTGTGGATGCTTTATTAGACGAAATTTGGAGCGCATGATTTGTGCCTTATAGAAAGCAGTTTGGGTTCTTAGTGTGACGAGCCACAATCCTACAGCCACTTCATATAAGAAGAATTCTAATTCAAATTGGCTCGGAATACAGCCCAAGAAGTAATGGCATATTTTGAAGCCGTGTGCATAGTTACAAATATATCAACTTGTATTTTTATATACTACTTCAATATCAGGCAGGTGGTGGCTCACTTTCTTTCCCTGGTTTTTTTGTAAACTCAAAGCAAAAGTTCATGAGTTAGGGAGGTCAAGAACTGCTTTTCACTCTATACCATTCTACTCTGTATCAAGTGTAGAGTCCAACAGTTCAGATAAACATAAGTGCACCCATACTTTGTTCAGGACCATGATCTTTGAGCTCTAGCCTGGATATTCTGCATGCCCCTTTTAATAGGACAAACAATCTTGCCATTATTTTTCACCATCTCGCCATTAAAGCCCTGCAAAGAGCTCTCTTTTGTTGTTGAAAGAAAAATGAAAGTTTGGTATGGTGCTTGGTCTTTAAATTGAGCCATTAACTAGCCTAGTAGTGAACTATAGGACCTCTATTGCCGTAGTTCTCGAGACACAGAGTAAACGGGACTGGACACTGCTTAGCTTCCGGGAGAGACATGGTGCTTGGCGGGACTGACTAACTGGTTAGTTATCTTATCAGATAGATTGGAGTTGGCTACGGGGCCTTGGCGGGTGGATAATGATCTGATCTGATTAGCTTTCGGTCAAGAAAGGCCCAAATTCCGAGTCAGCTTCTGAACGTCCCACTCACGCAGTTCTTTATGGCCAGGCTCCGAGGAGCTTAGAACACCATGGATTTCCTTCCACATTGCCCTGTAAGCCTTTCTAACACATGCCAAACAGATTTAACAGGCGCAGACGGGGCCACATATCGCCTTCAGGTTTCGTGGCCTCAAAGCTGGCCAGACCGCAAACCACCAACGGCGGCTAGGGTGCCTATATTGTTAGTGCGCGAGTTTTTTTCGAAATTGTAGCGGCTTAGTGTCGATTTGAAGTTCTGAAAAAGAAAAATACATTAACTACTAATTTCAAACTTCAGGTATTTGGTTGATGGCAATGCCATGTTCCTCACCGCGACGGAAGCAATGTGGCGACGGGCACACGCACCTCAGTCCTCCGGCCGCGGTATAATTGTGGGGGTTGGATATCCTTTAACCGATGCAGTATATAATATTCGTCAAAGAGCCTTCGACCTGACGCCGAGCGATGCGCATGGTGGGGATGGGTTTGGCGGAGCGGATGTATTCCTGGACTTCATTGCAGGGACGGTCCGGCCGTTTGTCAAATCCACTCTCTTTCCATCCGTGGAAATCGACCGAGAAGGCATATTTGGGCATTCGTATGGGGGGCTATTCGTCCTGCATGCGCTGTTCACCCATCCGCAACTTTTCAGCGGCTTCATGGCTGCCAGCCCATCAATATATTGGAGCAATGCCTTCATTCTGAAAGAAGAAGAGCAATATCGCGAGGTAGGGGCAGCACAAGAACAAAAGCCGACGTTAATGATGTACTTTGGCTCGTACGAAAAAAACCCCCAACTTTGGCCGGGCGAATCGCCAGAAAATTTCAAAAAACGGCAGGCAGCAGCGCAAGACCGCTCGATGTCTGGGTACGCCAGGTCTATGTATGAGCGCCTTTCTCAAAGCAACAAGCTGCATGTAATAGCACTGCAAGAATATCCTAAAGAGGACCACGACAGTGTAGTGGGATGTGTACTGAGCCGAAGTCTGACCACGTTCTTCGAAGAATGGCCTTTTCTAGGAGCCTAACAATAAGGTGGCCATTCTTACCATTAGCCCTTGGCGGTTGTGTAGGGGGAACGAAGTATATACTGACAACGGGCACTGATCCTGGCCAGCATGGTTGTTTACGGAGTACTAGTTAACTAGTTCACTGGCAGCGACAGGATCAAGAACCCCAACAATGCCCTGCGTGTCTACTTCCACAGCCTCGGTCTCATCACCCTTGCGCCTGGCTGCCGGTGCTGAGAGCCAACGGATAACGCCACTCAAACACTCGGACCCCGCTCAAGCATCGCTTTGTTTCTACCCGCCCAGTCGGCGCTTACAAACGAAGCTAGTCAAGCTGGCTTCGCTTGACCAGTCTCCTCCCTGTATCTGGCCCGATTGTGTTATCTACTTGCATGCAGGCTGTGTTTACGACGACGTTTACCGGGATTCATTTCGACCGGCCTCATCCGGCTGGAAAGCTAGCAAAGTGATTCGCTCGGCCCTATTTTTGTTATCACAGCCGCCCTCCATAACCCCCGAATGATGGAGATATCGTGTTTTAGCGCTCTTTAAAGCGTCGTGTTGCTTCACTTCTCCCTTCTTGTGGTTAAAATGATTCGCCCAGAGCTACTCATGCAGCCGTCCAGCCGCCGTACCCTGTGCCCGAGGAACGGTAGACATCAACGCGATATTAAACAGTTCCAGGATTTGCCATTGCAGTGCCAATGCAATAGGTCTGATTCGACAGCGCCTTTTGTCTTTCAGTGCCTCTGTCTCATTTTTCCTTTGGGCAGCGCCTTGACTGAAACCAATCGGTTTAGAATAGCGCCATGATAGAGGCTTCAACAACAATTGGCTGCCTCGCTTTACTTGCCCACTCATTGCAGGCTAATCTGGAAAGTTGGAGCTGCCCTCGCAGCTATCTATGGTGCTCTAGGAAAGACATAAATGGGTCCTGATATCCCACTCTTAGTGTTCCGTTTTCTTACCAGCAAAAACATTTGTTGCATATCTACTCAATTTCCCAAATCCCACAAATCCCAAATACTCTACCATGTCTTCATACACTATTCTTGACTTTTTAACTACGCCTAACCCACCCATCAATAACACTTACAGCTTGAAAGGTCGTCCCACTGAATTCAAATCCGATGAAATCCTTGCGCTGACAGAATGAACTGATTTTACTTTTGAAAATCTTATGCTGTCCTTCCGAAATATTTTGGAGAAGACGTTTGGCAATCCGTTCCCGGAAACTTCCCCTGCCTTGACTCCCCTTGAGTGCATGGTTTTTGATGAGAACTCCCTCGAACACCTTCTCAGCCGATCGATCTCCCCAGCCGTCACAGAAGCTCTTGGCAAAGCATTTGAGATCTGTTATGGGCATAATACTACTGAAGCCATAGCAATGACTCGAGGTGGACGTGCACGAAAGACCGATTGCCCCGGAGACCCGGCAAAATTTCCCGATTGGGCGGGAGTAATCCCGTGTCAAAATTCCCCTGGTTTCGAAAACCGCTGCCCTGGAGATACCAAACTCTCAACAAAATGGAAATCTGTTGACAGTAGACATGAACAAAAGTTCTTTTGGCCTCTTTGGCAAGTTTGCTACTATTGCACCGAAGATTGGACGACACGATACGGGTACCTGATTACTCAGGAGGAACTAGTGGTCCTGCGCTTTTATACCCGCGACAGAATTGATCCTGGGTTAGCACAAACGCGAGGTGTTCGTTCGCGACCCACCCCTTCGCCTCCGCGGCATCAAAGACTATCAATTTCAACGGTCATTTCTGACACTAGCACCATGTCTCTTGACTCTTCACCGCCCCGCATACTGTCCCAGTCATCTTCTACCACTGAGAGTCAGGCCCCGCCGCCTTCTTCGTCTTTCCACGCTGAAAGTACTGATGGAGAGACCAGACTGGTGGAAATGAAAAGCATCCCTTGGGACGATCATGGACCTAATAAACTTACAATTGAGCTTGCTTTGTGGTGGATTCACATGTTAGCTGCTGCACCTAATAGTAGCATCACTCTTGAGGAGACATATCCAAGTCTTGTCTATCAGCACGTCCCTAGGGGCCCATCAACTCCACAGCGAAATAGGAGAGAAGGGCATAACTCTAGCCCATTGTCATCTCCTATGTCGGTGGAAACCCCGGCCCACTTGCGAAATATCGACTTAGATATAGATCAACTTGCCGAGCCTCTGCGCTGGGACGAAAATTCGTTCCAATTTCGCTACATTACAAAATCAGGAGTCAGGGGGTCATTTAGGCAGGGTGCCTCGCTCTTTAGTACTAGGATGTCTGCGAACTTCTGGGTAGAGCTAGGCGACGAAGGCGACGCGGTTTTAATTTTGGATTGGCGCTCTGCTATCGGGGGTCCCGAAGTGGAGGACGGACGCAGGCATGGTGGGCATGGTCGACAACATCGACGGCACTAAGGGCGTTTATTTACACATAATCTCTTGCGTGACGTCCAGGTGCTCCAGACTGAAAAGATAAGCGGGGAAATGAAGTATCTGGGCTCTGACCAGGTTTATTGATCGTTTGCGACCTGCAAGTTAGTATATCTTCCCCGCTCAGCAGAATAGTTTAGTTTTTTTCAATGCGATTCATTCGATGAAAGGAATAAAGTCATAGTCTTGTCTTAGTAAAAGCAGTTGTCTCAAATGACGCACAATAAGCTATGATTAAGTGTTAGGGGTACAATAGTATACAGCTGTCATATTAAGCCACATAAATAGAGGAACCCTCAACTCCCTACTCTTTTGAAACTTTTCTCCCGCGCACAAGCTGCCTATTGACCCAGCCCTCAACCACTTCGCCATCTCGCACACATACCTGCCAGTCACTCGCCTCCCTATCAAAAGCAGGGAAAAATTCTTGTTGTCTGGTAGTTGACCAAGACAGCTCAGGATAAGGGTAAGTCTTTACCCTCCCAAGATCAACAAAAAAAGAGCCGCGGAAGTTCCGTGGCTGTACATCTTGAGGGTGCAGAAGGGCGTCGCGGGCGATGGCCATTTTGCGGCGGATCTCCGGGACGTCAGTGATGGCAACTTTATGAGGAATGTAGTCTTTGACAATGGCCCAGCGGGTCAGGTTCGAATACTTGGGTAAAGGCTGGAATTGGGTATCGGAAAGCTTGAGCCAGCCATGGCAATGGACAGCCCAGGTGCCATTCTTTCCATAGCTGTCGAGGCGCGCAAAGGCGCGACATTCATGGGAAAAAGAAGATGTGTATGGTCTCTGCCGTTTGGGAATGCCCCTCCTGCCGGTGTATGTCCACTCTTTGAACTGGAGACTATTGAGTCAGAGGGGGCGTAGCACGCGCAGAGGGAGATAAGCAACGCAACTTACGATCTTCACGGCGTACTCAGCGCCCCGGATGGTGGCACGGTAGACGATGCCCTCAGCGCCTTCGCCGAGCCGCTCAAGGAAGTCGATGGGCTCAGTGTGGTGGTCGAAACGACGGAGCATGGGCCTAGACTTACGCTTGCGGGCCGGGTCGCTCATGGGCAGCTCATCCAGCCAGCGGCCGATCATAGAATCGTCCATCGTGTTTCACACGACGCGTCAGGGCAGACTAGGATGGAGCGAGAGGAGGATGTTGTAGCTGGGTGGATGTGGGATTTATATAGAGTTGAACTCTAGGCTCCATAGCTAGGTAGCTCCCGCAATCTTAAGCCGATTTGGGTCTCGCCAGGCAACAGGCAGCAGGCACGGGAGTTACCGCGCTAACTGCTTTGGGGAACGGGAGCTGTCGCGTCGGATTAGTGTTATTCCGCCATCCGACCCGCCTCCCATCACCGCCCGCCGTCACCCGCAATCTCCTCCGTCTCTCTCGATGGGCTGGCTCTCTGTACCGATAGCTAACTCAGCCCGCTCCGACGGTCAGCCATGGCGCCTCTCGCCCTCGCATCACTGCTGTTGCTGTTGCCGCCGGCGCTGGCCCAACCTCGCCCGCCGCCGCCGCAGCTGTCGTTTGCTGTCCAGCAAACAGCGCCCGCCAGCTCCGATGCTACCCTGATACCCCTCAGTCCCGGCCAGTCTGCCCTGGACGCCATCATTGCCAGCTCTCCGCTGCTATCGCTGCACCGCTCGCTGTGCGAGATCGAGTCGATCTCTAACCATGAAGAAAACGCCGGCGACTTTTTGGTGGGCTACCTGCAGCGCCTGGGCTTCACTGTGACCAAGCAGCCTGTGCCGCTGGACAGTGAGAGCACCTCGTCCAAGCGATTTAATATATACGCATATTCTGCGGCGTCGCCCACTCCCAAGATACTTCTGACCAGCCACATTGATACCGTTCCACCGTACATCCCATACTCCGTTTCGCTGCCACCCAACTCTACCAGTGCCACAGCGTCATCCTTCAACCGGAGAGACATCCGTATCGCCGGCCGGGGCACGGTCGACGCCAAAGGGGCTGTTGCAAGCCAGGTCATTGCCATGCTCTCCTACCTCGCAGATGACCCAACCGCCCCCCTGGGCCTCCTCTTTGTCGTCAGCGAAGAGACCGGTGGTCTGGGCATGCGACACTTTTCTGATTCCCCACTGAACACCTCGCCCCCAACCTTCCACACCATCATTTTTGGTGAGCCGACCGAAAAGAAGCTCGTAGCGGGCCACAAGGGCATGCTCCACTTTACCGTCAATGCACGTGGAAAAGCTGCCCACTCTGGATACCCTTGGCTTGGTCATAGCGCCATCTCTGAGATCCTACCGGTGCTTTCGAAGCTCGATAAACTGGGCGATATCCCCGTATCGGAAGGCGGCCTGCCCTCGAGTGACAAGTATGGCAAGACAACCGTCAACATCGGTGCCATGCGTGGTGGAATCGCCGCAAACGTCGTCCCGGCTAATGCATCCGCAAGTGTCACCGTGCGTCTCGCTGGTGGGACCCTATCAGAGGCAAGGGATATTGTCTCTGCCGCAGTGCGTGCTGCTTCGAATAACAGTGCAAATGTTCGCCTTGATTTCGTTGGTGGTGGCTATCCGCCTGTGGATTTAGATGCTGATGTTGTTGGGTTTGATGTCATCACTGTCAATTATGGAACGGATGTGCCAAATTTAAAAATTCATGATGAGGGTCTGCCTGAGAACAAGAAGGTGAAGCGGTACCTGTATGGGCCTGGCACCATCTTTGTCGCCCATGGAGAAAATGAAGGATTGACTGTAGGAGACCTTGAAGATGCCACCGAAGGCTATCGTAAGCTGATCAAAGCCGCTATGGAGAGGAAGAAAGAGTAACACAACGAATCAGCCCGACTTCTTTTATACTATAGGGCATTTCTGGTTCCTATTATTTAAAAGCGCACCTGCAACAAATATAATGAATTTAATTTGCCCTTTACTGCCAGGCTCTGCCTCGTATAAAAAAATGACGAATAAGGTATGATCATGTCCATGTATTTACTACCATTTACAGGGTATCCGGGATATCGACACCTCCTCCTCGATCCAACCAGGAGAAGGGAAGGTCGCTATATATATTTTTTAGACCGTCTGATGGCCAGTCGATCTGACGGGGAACTTCCTTCTCCACCCCGTCTTGAAGTTCTTTCCCATCGTAAACCGTGGGAACACATGAGCCTCGGTGTTAAATATGGTTTTCTCTAGGGGAATAAAATCCCTGTCAGAAAATAGAAGATAGAAATACTTCAGTGTCTCCGCTAGCCAGAAGCTTTCCATATTATCTTTTGTGACTGGTGGTACTGTGTTTGCGTTAGAGAGGGATGTAAACGCACGAATAAGTGATGTGCGTAGGTGGGGTGTTCCAGAAGTTGCAGAAGATGAGACATCTTCAACAACAGCAGTATACTTGATAAATGACTTAAACATTTCCCAGCCCCAGAGACGATACGTTTCATCACCTGTGATGCGATACATATAAAAGAGCGATTCCACTGTCTCTGGTCGCTGAAGGTTGTGTCTGTCAGCATCATGGATAATAATATCTTTGCTCCATGTGGGCTTCTCATGATCCAGGGGATATAATGGCTGTGATTTCATGAACAAGTCTGCATGGTTATTTGCGCGGGATTTTTTCACGCTGCTTTTGCTAGCATAGCCAAGCGAGAAATCAAAGTCGGGGTATACATCTTTGACTGTTCGAGGGGGGTCATTGATGTCAAAGTAAGTAATTTCAGGCGCCAATCCAGTGGCCGTGGCGAGATATGTCGCCCAGCATGTCTTCGTCAGCTCTCTTGCCAATAGCATATCCTCTTCCTGCCTGCGGCCCCAGCGAGCAGATTTTCGGGCTTCTGCTAATGGTAGGCCACCGGTGGCCCCAAGGGCGATTGTACCAGGCAAAAAACACACAAGATGATCCATTTTTGGTGACAGCGAGCTATGTAGCCCATTAGGACGTTCGCCAACCACTGTGAGTGACGCGTGTTTGGTGTATGTGATTAGGTGTTTTCGAATGCCGCTCAATACCTCATGCCACATTTCTAGGTAAATTGGCTCTTCGTTCGATGTCTGGAGGTATTGTTTGATGAGGTATTCTGTGGCCTGGCTGTCAGCAGGCTACTTCGCTGTGTTGAACACTAAACATACCGTAATAAGAATCTCCCCGGCTGCCCAGGCGGATGTTGTCTCCCATAAACTGCCCTGTGTCTGCATAGATATATATGGGAACGAGGCCATCCTCTTTCCCATTTCCCTCGATCACTTCCATGACTTTCTCTGCTGCTTCCCAATAGTTTGGTTCTCCTGTCAGTTTTGCTAGATACTTGAACTCCAGCTGAAGCGTACCGGCCTCTGCCGTTGAGGAGGCCCCATTATCAGTATGTGATACGATACCAATAGATTTATTCAGGTTTACGCTCGCATACGGCACACCTGACTTAGATTCAAATGCACCCAGTAACCGGTCCGCCAAGTCCGCCGCTTTCTCAATATATAAGTCTTCTCCAGCAGCACCTTTGTCATCATCTGCAATAGGCGCCAACTCAGGATATGTGGTAGATAGATAGTGTGCAGAGAGTAAGCCGCCGAGCATGCGGATAGTCGTCTCAAAGGTATTCACGGCATGGTCTTGGTTGTACTGCAGCGTTGTTTGAATCCAGCTCCTTGCTTTCTCCACACGAGATGTAAGGTTCATAATCATAAGTGTATCAAGGGCATCGACAATTATCCAGCCCATTCCGCCTTGTACCATATCCCGACCACCCTTTGAAATGGGGAAGTATTCATCACGACCTCAATGTCTTTAAGTCAGCATCCAAACGTTAGAAGCTCTCTTGCAACAGCATAGCTGACCAGTAACTCACCCCAAGCATGCTTCTCATAACCATCCCAACTAATGATGAACGCATCCTTCACCCGCTCTCTTCTCTCTTCCCAGTTTATTGTCTTCCCCTTAGCCGCATCCTCCTCTTTTTGAAAATCCTGAACCCATTTCCATAACTCTTCACCATGGACATTATTTGTCCCTTTTCCGCGCGACAGGATCCTATACGCCTTCCCTCCAGCCCATAGCCACCACGCAGTCAGTCCAAATATCACCAGAGCACCTAAAAACACTATCTTTCTTTTCCTTCCCCTTTTTGTATGAGGTATAAAACTACCGCCTGCGCCTCTCTTAGCCGCATAGTATGGTTTGTCCTTATACATCGGCAAATCACGGTTGGGGGCTATAAACTGGCTGATCTTATCGGTGATGTCGAATGGACCGCCCAGAGCGGCATTGTGAGGTGGATTGCGCGCGGACGTGGCAGCTTGCCAGTATCCGTCTTCGGCTTCACGCTGGGCGGAATTGAAGGCGGGAACACGGCTGGGGAGTTGGAAGGACATCCTTGAAGTATGTGTGGAACTGCCACCGGAGAAGACGTCGCGTCTTGCGCAGAGCCGAAGATGAAGCCAGCGATATGAGGGGCGCCTCAAGCAGAGGGAAAAATGCAATTGAGCCTACCATAGGACGTTAGAGCAGAGAGCGCGAGTATTCACGGTAATCACACCTATGCTATACTCCGATTACCATGCATTTCGCTTTTTGTGCTATGGTCGTGTGAGTCGACCTGTCGTCAATGTCAGGTCCCAACCATTGGGAGAATACCCGCTACACATTCAAAGCCGCAACGTTGTCACAGCAAGACAGAAGAGAAAATGCCAGGGGTCTTTCTATACCCGCTTCCAGCAGTCAACCTCGCAAAAGTGACCAGCTGGCGAAGTTGAGTTTGTTGTGTTTGCTTTTCTCGGCACTTGGCTGTCTGGGCTGACAGATATTGGTGAAAGTCAAGATGATGGTCAATGAGGGCTTTCTACTACTGCTATTGTAATAATTTACATATGGCTTGTTGGAGGAACGCCAGTATGTGGCCACACTAAATCATAGTATCAAACAGTGTCTAGCTGCAAAATCCTAGAGTTTTTGATATTCCAGCTTCCCTTCAAGCTTCTTCGCCTCCGCCACCTTTCGCACAGCTTTGTTGAAATCGTCCTGGTTAATAGCATCGCGGTAGTCCTTGATGGCGAAGAGTCCACTGTAAATAGTTAGATCGGGCCGATAGCAGAAAAAAAACAGATTAACTTACGCTTCTGTCACGACATTGCGAAGATCAGCCCCATTTAGGCCGTCACTCATTTTGACAATGGTTTCAAAGTCGATTTCGCCTTCTATGGCGACACCGCTAGAATGGATTTTCATGATTTCTAACCTACCAACCTCATTTGGTAGTGGGATTTCGATTTTTCTATCGAGACGACCAGCTCGAAGAAGGGCTGGATCGAGGGTATCCGGTCTGTTTGTAGCCATGATAATCTTAGTTTTCCCCAAGTAGTCAAATCCATCTAGTTGATTAAGCAGCTCCATCAATGTACGCTGAATTTCTCGGTCGGCTGACGTCCCCTCAGAAAACCTGCGGCCTCCAATGGCATCGATCTCGTCCATGAAAATAATACAGGGCTCATGCTCTTTAGCATAGCCAAACATTTCTCTGATTAACCGAGCAGATTCACCGATATACTTGTCTACAATGGCGGAGGAGACAACTATGCCAGGGTCAGCAGTAGAAACAACATAGGGTTACGGGTAGAAAGCCAACCCTTTAGAAAGTTTGTCTCTAGAGAGCTGGCAACGGCTCTGGCAAGAAGCGTTTTTCCGGTTCCAGGAGGTCCGTACAACAGCACACCCTTAGGGGGTTTTATTCCAACCCTCATGAACAACTCCGGGTTTTTGAGTGGTAGTTCAATCACCTCTCTCAGCTCACGAATTTGATCATTCAACCCACCAATTCCGGCGAAATTAACCTGACCAGGGTCTTCCAGGGACATGTTATAGACCAGAGGATCCACTTCGCGAGGCAGCATACGCATGATAGTTAGGGTGGTCATATCAAGAGCTACACGAGTGCCTTGCTTCAGCTTAGCCTTGTCAACTTTGGACCGGCATCCAACAACATATCGAGGTCCTGACGATGCTTTCACAATGACTGCAGTATATTAGTTGAGAATATTGCGAAATTCAACCGCCAAAGAAAGGTATCCACGTACACCGCTCTTCGTCCAGCTGCTTGAGAACCTCGCCAATGATCTGGCCGACGCTCTGGAGGGCTTTGATGTTGTCTTCAGTCTGATCAAACTCCTTTTGTAGATCCTTTATGCCTAACCGAAGAGCTTTCAGTTTCGATTCCCATTCCCTTGATTCCATTAAAGCCTTTTTATAGGAGTCGAGAGCATGCTGGCGCTCCGGGTCGCTGGAGCCTTCCATAGAGAGGGTGGGAATACAAAGAATGCGAATGGGGGTTCAAAAATCACGGAAATTATATTGCACACAATTAGCCGAGCCAGGCTGGTTGGGATGCTTGCTGGGCGCGGTTATGCTGTTGGGTTGCTGGTCGTTTTGCGCTGTTGAGCTCTAGCTTACGGAGCCTGTACAAATAGTGCAAACTGGCCAAACAGCTGGTTAGATATTGCAAACGACATAAACAACAAATCACATGGTGAAGAAAACAATGAGTAATATCTTACCTAATCAATTTGACGTCACACCTCCTCTTCTCGGTGATACCGTAACTTACCACGAATGGACCGCTTACCATACATTCAAAATTACGCAGGTCGTCGTACTAGTGCCTTGGCATATCATCCCACCAAATCCACGATGGAGGGGCTCCAACAGCCAGCAACCCCGACAACAACAGCAACAGCCCTCTTCCTTCTTCCCCATTATTGTTTCCTCCTCGATATACTGCCATTGGGCTCCTAAAGAAACCGCTAGAAATCTGTGATCATCGGCAAGTAAGTGCTTACTCTCGTTCTAAACCCGTCCCTTCATCCAGTCCATCACCACTCGTACCCTTTGCCCAGAAAAGCTGTACTTGGTAGATTGTTGATATCATGCCATTCCTGTCGAGATATTAGCTTGTTGGAAAATTTTTCCCAGCATGTATGAAGTATGATACTTTCTCAGAAAGTTTCGGTGAGAATTCATTGAAAAGTGGATCACAAACAAAGCCCTCCTCAAAAATTCTTTTGAGACTTCCCCTACACTTACATACTCACATAGCAAGTCAATTGCGAAGAAGAATACGGTGACAGGGGAATAAGTGCTAATATAGCTTTCTATTACTCTAGAATGGCCATTACCAAGATTCACGCCCGATCAGTCTATGACTCCCGTGGTAACCCCACCGTCGAGGTTGACGTTGTCACCGAGACTGGCCTCCACCGTGCCATTGTCCCATCTGGAGCCTCTACCGGTATGTTATATTATAAAAAAAAAAAAAACGACAAGGGACATCGTTAACACATAAGTAATAGGTCAACATGAGGCATGTGAACTTCGAGATGGCGACAAGACCCATTGGCTGGGAAAAGGTGAGTTCTGGACTTCCTCGTTGTATCTCACGTTTCCGCATTGACAACAGCGTCTGCAGGTGTTCTAAAAGCTGTCAAAAACGTTAATGAAGTTATCGGCCCGGCGGTCATTAAGGAGAACATTGATGTCAAGGATCAGTCGAAAGTGGATGAGTTCCTCATCAAGCTTGATGGAACAGACAACAAATCCAAACTTGGCGCCAACGCCATCCTAGGTGTCAGCTTGGCCATTGCAAAGGCCGGTGCTGCTGAGAAGGGTGTTCCGTTGTATGCCCATGTTTCCGATCTCGCCGGAACAAAGAAACCATATGTCCTCCCTGTCCCTTTCCAGAACGTCCTGAACGGAGGCTCCCATGCTGGTGGTCGACTTGCTTTCCAGGAATTCATGATTGTGCCCACGTAAGTTGCCTCTGATTCATGTTATGTCACACCTCTAAGTTGCGCAGTGCTGCTCCTTCATTCTCCGAAGCTTTGCGTCAGGGCTCCGAAGTCTATCATAAACTCAAGGCTCTTGCAAAATCTAAGTATGGTCAGTCCGCAGGAAACGTTGGCGACGAGGGCGGTGTTGCCCCTGATATTCAAACCCCTGAAGAGGCGTTGGATTTGATAGCTGAAGCTATCGAGCAAGCTGGATACACTGGCAAGGTTAAGATTGCGCTCGACGTGGCATCCAGTGAATTTTATAAGGCCGAGGAGAAGAAATATGACCTTGACTTCAAAAACCCCAACAGTGATAAGAGCAAATGGATCACTTATGAGGAGCTCGCTGATTTGTACAAGAAGTTGGCTAGCAAGTATGACATTGTCAGCATTGAAGATCCGTTCGCCGAAGACGACTGGGAGGCATGGAGTTATTTCTTCAAGACCTCTGATGTCCAAATTGTTGCGTATGTGTCTCCATACCCTCCCCCACAACAAAATTAGCCCTTGTGACTGACATCAACATAGAGATGATCTTACTGTCACCAACCCCATCCGTATCAAGAAAGCCATCGAACTCAAAGCGTGCAATGCTTTATTGCTTAAAGTGAACCAGATCGGTACGTTGACTGAATCTATCCAAGCAGCCAAAGATTCCTATGCCGATGGCTGGGGCGTGATGGTCTCCCATCGATCCGGCGAAACAGAGGATGTCACCATCGCCGACATCGTCGTTGGATTGCGCTCCGGCCAGATCAAGACTGGTGCCCCTGCACGATCCGAGCGACTTGCCAAGTTGAACCAGATCCTCCGTATCGAGGAAGAGCTTGGCTCTAATGCCATCTATGCTGGCGACAAGTTCCGCGCTGCGGTCAACATGTAAATAACTATCTGAAGGGCTCAGACCCCAGGGTGTATCTGTTTTACCCAGACAAAAAACCGACGTTGTACACATCGAAGATCAAACTAGTAGTAAAATAGTTCCAATATGCATTATCAGCAGTTTTTTCACTTCTGCAATTTCCATTTGCAACCTTCTAGTTACCGGACGAATGATTATCCGAACTACCGATTGGCGTGGCACGGATTAACATGGTTCCGTTGATAGTCGCCGCCCGCAGTGCCCAAAAACCCACGAAGACGCACAACATCCCGCGGGCGGCCCTAGACCATCACGGCTTGTCCGTCTGCAGGAGATTTGTGGCTGGTACATTTTCTCTATCAGCCCATCCTGCACTGATACCACTTCTATTGTTTTTCTCAAAACCTATAAAACATGGCGCCTTCAAAGTGGGGTACGTATCAGGCAGCTTGGTAGCAGAATCCATCACTGACCACTATGCAGACGATGAAGAGGAGAGCACGCCTCCCTCTTCCCCGCCTCTTGCTCCTGTTGCGCGACGAAAGTTTGATGACGAAGAAGATAGTGATGAGGTGCGCAGATCTGACTTGAATATTGTCGTTGCAGAACTCATAAGTGACTAACTCGACGCGTTTTGGGCAATGCAGGTCTTAGAATCTTGGGACGCCGCCGAAGACTCAGAGGTTGAGCGAGAAAAACAGGCAAAGGAAGCTGCTGCGAAAGTCAAAGCTGAAGCCGAAGCTGCTGCGAAGAAGAAGTCCAAAGCAGAACGAATACAGGAGCACAAAGTGCGGCGGCTCGCCAACCAAGACGATGAATCTAGCGAGGAAGAGGAAGACGCCGCGACCATGCGGGCACGCCTAAAGCGTACCGAACAAGATGCCGATCTCATGCACGCGGAAGATTTGATGGGCAACATAGACATCAACCGAAGTCGGTCGGCCCCCAAGAAATCAGTAATCTCTGACAAGGACGACCCCACCAAGTCTATCGACCTCTCCGCCATCCCGCTCTTCAAGCCAGCCACAAAAGCGCAATTCGCTCTCCTCACCGAGACCCTCGCCCCCCTCCTCGCCGCGCAATCCAAAAAGCCGCAGTACTCGCTGTGGGTGCAGGAATTTACGAAACAATTAGTTAAGGAGCTCCCGAGCACGGAGATTAAAAAGGTGGCGAGTGCATTGACGGCAGCTAGCAATGAGAAGATGAAGGAAGAAAAAGCCGCAGACAAGGGCGGGAAGAAGAGCAAGGCCGCGAAGACGAAGACAAGCCTGGTTACCAGTCACGCAAACCGCGCGGATCTTACAGCATACGACGGCGAAGATCTTGACGATGACGATTTTATGTGATTTGACTGTTCTTTTTTTTCCCCTAGAAACTCCCTTCACTTTCTTAAGGCCGTTCGCTGAGCTTGCGTTTCATTTGGATGTCTTCCCTTTTTATAACTGGTTTGATACTCAGCATGAACCGGCAGAGCACTTTATTTATCCGATTTCTCCCCCCGCACCTTAGAATTTCCCGATACACGAAGATTGGCTATTGTTCTGATCAAATTGCGAAGTATATGTCGCACCGCAGGCTAGATTGTTTGAAAAGAAATATATATTCTTACTTGAGCTCTTTAAATAAACCCATACATAAATACATAACTAGGCAATGTCTAGATCTAAATTTCAATGCAGATGCAATAGGGCTTTCCAAAGTGACTTCGGGGGAGAAGCCTGTTGCTGATGGCAAAGTTGCACCAGAGGTAACCATCTCAGGCGTCCTCCCAGACAACACTTTCGTACCCAAGTAACCAGGTCCAGTAACCACACGAGATTCTACACCAACACTTGGATATTCTCAGGAGACGGATTGCCTTCCGATGTAAGCCGGTAATGCCTACATGTATATATCTTGATGTAGCCTCGCCTGGCGGCGGATAGGGGCTACGACGCCAGTGTTTAGCCTAGCCGAGGATAGCGGCAGAGAAGCGACGAGGGCGGCGACGGCAGCTCCCACGGCAGCGGTCGATGCCCAAAGCTGCGCGATGCTGTGCGCGGAAGGAGGGTGCTTCGCGAGGACTGAGAAGCCAAAACAACGAGGGCCCATCTGCTGCTTTCTCCCACAGGCCGCGTGAGCTGCAGAATACCCTCCCGGAGCGTGTGTTGGCCGCCAACATGAGATCGATCACCAAGGCCGATATACCTGCAGGCGTTCTGATTGCGTTTGTGCTTCTGTTTGCGGTGGTTGTGATCGGTGGCATTGCAGCGTAAGCACGCCCCTGTGTGAGCAGCCACACGTTGGCTCGTTCACTGGCTCGCCAGCCAGCCGGCCGAGCAGTGCGTTAGTTAACAGACAGCAGCTGGATTCGCATTGCGTCTGGGCGGCCGTTTGCGGTGGGGCGGCGGCGGTATGTGATGGTGATGCTGGAGGGCCGGGCGTTGAACCACCTGAGCGCGGTGCAAGCCACACCCGAGTCTCAGCCATCCGCGCCTCGCTAAAGCCAAACAAACCACCCCCTTCACCTTCCACCCTCTCTTCTCTCCGCGACTGATCTCTGCGGAACGCCTCCTGCACCCACTGCCCGCTCTGTCTCTGCTTTTCCATTCCCCCCTGTCTGCCTGGCACCCTTCAGTCGCCGTTCTCGCTCCAACAACCCGTCCTGTGTGAAAATGAGTTCTGAAGTATGTTTAACTACCCCTCCCCCGTTGCCCAGCGCTTCCAGCCCAGGCGCTGGCTCCCTCCCTCCAGGCGTGTTGTTTGTCGTACTCTTGCTGCCTGACCTGACCTGATAGCTAACGGCGATGTCGTGCACAGCGAGAGAAGTAGGCCCTTTGCCTGGTTTGCGTGCCTGGTTGGTCTCTTGTGCTCACATCCATCTAGCAAGACTTTCCTCGCCCGCCTCTGCGAGCAGGCTGAGCGCTACGATGGCAAGTACTCCCTTCTCTTCCTACATACCCAGACGCGCCATGGCTGACTTGAGGCTATAGAAATGGTCACTTACATGAAGGTTCGTCCCTCTCGCTTATTTTGGGTGCCCTGGCTACTAACGCAAGGCTGACAATCCTCATTCAGGAGGTCGCTAGTGTATGTTCTTCCTCTGCTGCTGCCTTGTCGACTGTCGCGTGACGACACCGTTGCAGGTGGCTTGTACTGATGGCCTTTAGATTGGTGGCGAGCTTACTGTCGACGAACGCAACCTTCTCTCCGTCGCGTACAAGAACGTCGTTGGGACCCGCCGAGCGTCCTGGCGAATCATCTCCTCTATCGAGCAAAAGGAAGAGTCCAAGGGCTCCGAGAAGCATGTCGGCACTATCAGAGAGTATCGTGAAAAGATCGAAGCCGAGCTCGAACGTGTTTGCCAGGATGTCCTCGAAGTCCTCGACAACAACCTGATCCCTAAAGCCGAAACCGGCGAATCTAAAGTGTTTTATTATAAGATGTATGCTTGCTCTCAGGCCCCTTCCAAGTGCAGTTACTGAACCTGGCACTTGTATAGGAAGGGAGACTACTATCGTTATCTTGCTGAATTCGCTTCCGGTGGCAAGCGCAAGACCGCCGCGACCAATGCCCATGAAGCTTACAAGGTGCGAAACGAGACCTTGTGAAAACGGGCGGCATGTTCTTTTGAGAGCTAACTGTATTATATTATAGAACGCCACCGACGTTGCCCAGTCCGAGCTGACTCCTACCCACCCCATCCGCCTAGGTCTCGCTCTCAATCTTTCCGTCTTTTACTACGAGATTGTCAACTCTCCAGATCGGGCTTGTCATCTTGCCAAGCAGGCTTTCGACGACGCCATTGCCGAGCTTGACTCGCTGTCGGAAGAATCCTACCGTGACAGCACCTTGATCATGCAGTTGCTGCGCGACAATCTGACTCTCTGGACCTCGTCTGACGGCGGAGAAACCGAGCCTGCCACTGCTGCTGAAGCTGCTACTGACGATAAGCCTGCCGATGCCGCCCCCGCTGAAGCGCCTGCCGCCCCTGCCGCTACCAGCCCCGCTGCCACTGCCACTGCCACTGCCGCTGCTACTGCTACTGCTGCTCCGGCTGAGGATAAGAAGAAGGAAACCGCTGCGGAATCCTAAAGGGCGATGCCATCACGCCTCTTGGGACTCGGAAAACGTTCAGTCTGTTGCGCGGATGGGTTACACCTTTACAATATGTCTTTTAGTGTTATTCAAAGGTTTTATTTTTTCAGGCCGCGGAGTTTGCTGTTCTTTGGAGAGAGGGAGAGAGTGTTCGCCTTGAATGGGGGTTTTCATTTTAAACATTTTTCTTAACTTTAACCGCGTCTCACGCGGCGCACAGGCAACAGCAAGATACCTGCGCTCGCCGGTCCTCGCGCGAGCTGTCCGCCCGGCGGGACCCGTGCGCCGTGGTTCGCCCTCCCCAGCCCGGATCTGTTCAAGCGCTGCTGTTCCCTGTTCTTAGTATTATTGCCTAGCTAGCTCGAAACAACGTCGCTTCTCCCGCCGCCGCCTCGTAGCTGAGTCAGCCGCTTACCTAACTAGCGCGCGAAAAGACCACGTTGGACCTTCCGCGGCCGCGTTGCCCGCCGAAGGTACTGTGAGCATACGTACTGCCTATATATCGCGAGCCCGCGGCCGTGCCGGATCTTCCTCTGCGCTCGTTTTCAGCTGCCCTCTGTCTCTCAGCTGCCCCACGCCTCGTTGCTTGTTCCTGGTCGATCCTTCGGCTTGGCGGCTTGGTGGGTACTGACCCTTCAGCTTGCGGATCTCGATAACGATTCCGCTGAGAAATCTGGCATCTCGGCTCGCGCCCCAGCCCCCTCCTCCACAAAACTTTTATTTTATATCAGACCCCCAGGCTGCTTCTTGACACGCCGTATGCGACGCTTCTCTCCCACCCGGAACTATTACATTTAGATATCCAGCGAGCTACCCGACCTACGGCGTGCTATCAGTGAAGGAAGCTTCGGGCCATGGAGCGTTCGTTTTTACGCTCGCCGCCTGAGGTGCTTGCGCACTTTGGAGTTGATGAGCATGAGGGCCTGTCTGCTTTGCAAGTCGCGAAGCTGAGAGAGAAGTATGGATCAAACGGTGAGTGAATTAGCCACCTCAGGCGACTGCCACGGACTCTAGGGCTGATCTCGCCGTCGTCTCTTCTAGCTATTCCTGAAGAACCACCCACCCCGCTTTGGCAGCTTATCCTAGAGCAATTCAAAGATCAATTGGTAATTATCTTGCTGGGATCAGCGGTGGTATCGTTTGTGTTGGCGTTGTTAGAGGGCGGAGATGACTGGACCGCATTTGTCGACCCTGCAGTGGTGAGTGCTCTCAACAGAGATCGCTTATAAGCCTTCACTAACATATATCGCTGTTAGATTCTTACCATTCTTATCTTGAATGCGATTGTTGGCGTGTCGCAGGAGAATAGTGCCGAAAAGGCCATCGCTGCGCTCCAGGAATACTCCGCAAATGAAGCAAAGGTTGTCCGGGATGGCACCACTCAGCGGATTAAAGCCGAAGACCTTGTTCCTGGCGATATTGTGCATGTGGCCGTGGGTGACCGTATCCCGGCTGACTGCAGAGTTGTTACAGTCCAAAGCAATAGTTTCCGTGTGGACCAAGCCATTTTGACGGGTGAAAGCGCAAGTGTCGCCAAAGGGACCGCTGCAATTGATGACCATCGTGCCGTGAAACAGGATCAACTGAATATACTGTTTTCTGGTACCACCGTTGTCGCTGGTCACGCAACAGCCGTTGTTGTTTTGACCGGGTCTAGCACTGCAATTGGCGATATCCATGAGAGTATCACCGCGCAGATCTCTGAGCCGACTCCACTGAAACAGAAGTTGAATGACTTCGGTGACATGCTGGCCAAGGTTATCACCGTCATTTGTGTCCTGGTCTGGCTCATGAATATCCAGCATTTCAACGACCCCAGTCACGGAAACTGGACAAAAGGCGCTATCTACTACTTGAAAATTGCCGTCTCTCTTGGTGTGGCTGCCATTCCAGAGGGTTTGGCCGTTGTTATCACCACTTGTTTGGCTCTGGGCACACGAAAGATGGCCGCTAAGAATGCTGTTGTTCGATCTCTCCCTTCGGTGGAAACCCTAGGAAGCTGTAGTGTCATATGCTCTGATAAGACGGGCACTTTGACTACCAATCAGATGAGCGCAGAACGTATCGTCTATCTTAACGACGCTGGAAATGGCATAGAGGAAATTAATGTTGAAGGAACCACTTTTGCACCTATTGGCAAATTGCGAAAGGATGGTAAAATTCAAGAAGACCTAGCGGCTGTATCTTCCACGATAGGCCAAATGGCTGAGGTCATGGCAATGTGTAATGATGCCGCGCTAGCTTATGACCAAAAAAATGGAACTTACAGCAACATCGGAGAGCCCACCGAAGGCGCCCTTAGAGTTTTGGTAGAAAAGATTGGCACAGAAGATACCAAAGTCAACCAGAAGATCATGCGCCTATCGCCTCCTGAACGTCTACACGCCGCCAGCAGACACTATGAAAATCGCTTACCACTCCAGGCCACCTATGAATTTTCACGAGACCGAAAGAGTATGTCCGTCCTTATTGGGGAAAAGAACAATCAACGACTCCTTGTCAAAGGCGCACCTGAATCGATTCTTGAACGTTGCTCCCATATTGTTCTGGGCTCGAATGGGGCTAGAGTTCCTCTCTCCCCGCAACATATGAAACTGGTCTCGCAAGAAGTTGTTAGCTATGGAAATATGGGTCTTCGTGTTATTGCCATTGCCAGCATTTCGGATGTGCCAGAAACCCCTTTGCTTAGATCCGCTGAAACCTCCAAGGAATATGAGAAGATTGAACAAAATATGACTCTAATTGGACTTGTTTGTATGCTCGACCCACCTCGACCTGAGGTTGGAGCGTCTATTCGCAAGTGCCGGGAAGCTGGAATCCGAGTTATTGTCATCACTGGCGATAACCAGAGCACCGCAGAATCTATCTGCCGACAAATCGGTGTGTTCAAGAAAAACGAGAATTTGCAAGGGAAAAGTTTTACTGGAAGAGAATTCGATGCACTCAGTGAACACGGTAAGATTGAAGCCGCGAAACAGGCTTCATTATTCTCTCGTGTTGAACCGAGCCACAAGTCGAAACTGGTTGATATTCTTCAATCTCTTGGACAGGTTGTTGCAATGACTGGTGATGGTGTTAACGATGCCCCAGCGCTGAAGAAGTCGGATATCGGCGTGGCCATGGGTTCTGGTACCGATGTCGCGAAATTAGCAGCAGACATGGTTTTGGCAGATGATAACTTTGCGACAATTGAGATCGCTGTTGAGGAAGGAAGGTCGATCTATAGCAATACCCAGCAATTCATCCGCTACTTGATCTCGTCAAATATTGGCGAGGTCGTGTCCATTTTTCTGACCGCAGCTTTGGGAATGCCGGAGGCTTTGATCCCTGTTCAGTTACTATGGGTCAATCTTGTTACGGACGGTTTACCGGCAACAGCGCTCTCTTTTAACCCCCCCGACCACGATGTTATGAGGAGACCTCCCAGAAAGCGCGGAGAAGCACTAGTCAGTGGCTGGCTTTTCTTCCGTTATATGGTCATTGGCGTTTATGTCGGTGCTGCCACTGTTTTCGGCTTTGCTTGGTGGTTTATGTATAACCCCCAGGGCCCACAGATTTCTTTTTGGCATTTGGTACGTTTTCGCCGCCGAATCATTCGTATTGAAAACGACTTACACTGACCTTTTCCAGTCGCACTTCCATAAATGCTCAAGGGATTTCCCTGAAATCGGCTGTGAGATGTTCACAAACAACATGTCTAAATCGGCATCCACTATATCCCTCTCCATCCTCGTCGTTATCGAAATGTTCAATGCCATGAATGCTCTCTCATCAAGCGAATCACTTTTAACCTTCCCACTATGGAACAACATGATGCTAGTCTACGCCATCATGTTGTCGATGTCTCTTCACTTTGCCATCCTCTATATTCCGTTCTTACAAAATCTGTTCTCCATCTTACCACTAAATTGGGTCGAATGGAAGGCTGTGTTAGCAATCAGTGCACCGGTCATGTAAGTGTAGTCTACCACATTACTTTTAAAAAGCAACGCGGCGCTAACAACATTTTAGTGTTATCGACGAGATTCTCAAGTTCTTTGAGCGACAGTTCTACGATACTCGAACGGAGTCTACTGAAAAACTAGCAAACGGAAGTGCTACGAAGCCTAAGATGATGTAGGCAAGCGGGATAGATTAATTGATAGATGTTCTTGGATAAATGTTACAGAAACAAATATGTTAGGTTTCGAAATTTGTATATTGCTGATATGCGTTCATGGAATAGATGGTTAGAAATCCTTTATTTATTTATCATGGGCCAGTGCCACGCGGTACTGAACCACTCGCATAGACCCTCTATCTTCTTGATATACTTTACTGTTTTTTCAAACCTGCTCAAAACGACGGACTGGCTTATTAAGTTCTCTTTCTCTGTCATGTAGCGTAGTCAGACAGCGAGTCGTGTGGTCGCAGGGTGGAAACCCGGAGAACAGTTTAGCAAATCACAGAAGCCAGCGGCTATATTGGCCGTAAATAAAAAGAGCACCAGCATAAACATCCACTGAGTATTAGATCAACTATGTATCCCCTCTTCAATCGTGTTGTGAAGATATAAGATAAAATTACAAAAGACAGGGGGTAAAAAGTCGAATGTCAAATTAAACTATCATTAATTTCTAGAAATCCAGGATATCTGCAAAGCTTGGGTATTACGCAAATCACTGAAGAAAATATGAAGTAAACAGCTTATCTGATGAATATAGAAGCTAGGGCTCAACAAAGGGTGCATCACAAGTAGGAACAAATTCCCTGGTCTCTTGTGCAGGTCAATGGCATCTCTTTCCTTTGTAATGGTATAAATCAGGCAGACCGATATAAGACTGCACAAGGCTGCCTTTCAGATTAGTGGTGTGTCTGGGGTGGCGGTGGAGCAGACTGCTGTTGCTGCTGCAGATAACTTTGGGGGGCTTTTTGGTCTGCAGGTGGTGAATATGAATCTTTTGACTCGAAATCAGGTGCCGAAGAAGCATCTGCAGCAGGAGCAGAAGTACCATCGGTAGTACGTGCGTTTACTTCCGCCCTGGCGGCGACTAGTGCGGGGCTTGTGACGACAAGGAGGACACAAGCGAATAGCCACGCGTAAAAGAAACTACCAACAAAAACTGTGGAGAGGAGGCGAGATGCTGTGTTTCGGTGGGTACTAATGGTAAAAAGGCGACTGATGTCGCCGCCCAAGTTAAACGACGAGGTAGCGAGGCATCCACCGATGAGAAGCCCTATCCAGAGAGCTAGGCTCTTCATCGTTCGTTAACAAAAAGCTATTGCAAGCCGTGTAGCATAGGTGAAGCCTGGATAGAAGACAAAGCCACTTACTCCTTTCTGGAACCTTTCAGTGCGCGTCGTGGCAAGACACATACTGACGGAAGCCATGATCATGCCAATCAAAGCAAGGACGTCAAACGTAATCAACAACCCTCGGTTAGCGTCTGCTAAAGAATATATCTCCACATCAACGGTTTCGGAAATGGCAGTCTCCGTCGCCGAAGACAAAACAGCGAGAAAAGCAACAATAATGATGCTGAGAACAGTCATAACCCCTAGGTGTGCAATAGATACTATCTTGGCGATGGCACACCCGGCAGCTTGGTGTAATTGCCTGCAAACTGGTACCATCACGAGGCCATAAAGAAACAAAAGCCCGAGCCATGAAAACCACGAGGAAGCTGCGGCCATACGGATACCTGTGATAGATGCGCCGTTACACTCCACAAGGACAACGCTGACAATGACCAGGATATATGCTCTATAGAGAGGAGTATTGTTATCAGCCTTCTCTGCACCGCTGGAAAAGACAGGAGGCATTAAAAGCATACTGACATGATAGTAAAAGCGATAGTCATAGTTATCATCGCCCATTGCAGGCTTTCTTTTGGATAGCCGGTGCCCAACATTTTTTTTTTTCGTGAGCTTACCCAGTAAGCCTGACCCAAATACACAAGTAACCAGAAGGCCACAAAGGCAATATAGACCTTCTGAGTATCGGAGGCAAACGCACTGCTGCTGCAAGAGCTGGAATTGCTGTGGCGGCCGCCCCCTCCTCCACCACGGCCACTTTTCGGCGCCATTGAAACGGTGTGTTGATGAATAGGGAAAGAAACTCGAAACGCGGGGCCCGAAAAGCGTTCCTTAGGGCTGAGAGGGAGTGAAGACTCTCGAGCCGTCACAGAAAAAGATAAAGACACTATTTAGGAGTTGCGTGACATTGAACAAGTTTCGAGACGGTCTCTGGGCTTAATAGCCACTCCATGCAAGTGGGCAAATCACAAAACCACAGCCTAGCTGTATGTAAGACACAATCGCATTCCCGCTAATCAGGACGGAGTACTCCGTACTCCGTAAGCTGTGGGGCTTCGGTTTGGGATCACACAGCAGGCTCGGCAAGATGAGCCGCACTAGCCAGCATTGGTCTTTGTTCGTTTTGAGCGGCGGTGATGGGTCAAGTCTTTTGTTTAGTTTTCCCATCAGAGATCGGAACGAACGTGGCTTGCACTAGTTGGTTGACCAGATGCATTGGGTCGCGGATCAACTGACTGACTTCACCGTCGATACGAGAGGCCAAGACGCTGTGGGTTGCTCGGAACCCTTGAAAATGATATGCAAGGCTGCAGGAGGCTGGCAGGCCTGTTGATCAAAGCGCTCGGGGCGAAGCAAACAAGGGAAAATGCCACACATGCTGGCATGCTGCCAGGTGCCCAGCTGCGGGCTTTTTGGCGTGCCAGCAGATCGCGTGTTGGTTGCTTGAGTGCGGGATGTGGCTGCAGCGAGCCTGGTGCCGAGATGTGGCTGATTATGTCAGCATTCAAGCATCTCACGTGGTCCACACAGGCCCATGCCAAGAACGCGGGCCGGGTCTGCGCTAGTCTTAATTAGGGGGCTCCAGGCCGGGCAACGCCAAGACCACGGGGCTTGACCCTAATCTGCTCCTCGTGCTTAGTCATTATCTCTAACCCTAACCCTAACCCACGGATAGGGCATGTTCAGACGGAGTTCAGCTTTCGGCGCGGGTGCGTCAGGGCCCGACACTGACAACGAAAGCACACGGACTCTCGGTTATCATTAATAACTACCCGATAATGGACTACCAGTTTTGATGCATTCTCAAGCGAAAAACCCGTGGTTGTTGTATAAAATCTGCAAATGGGGTGTTACTATTATTAACTCGCGATCGCCAGCTGGCAATCTGAATGCAACGTCGGCCCACTTCTCGCTGCCTGGCAAAATCTCGGGGATTTCTTCTCTTTCAAGACATTTTATTATTATTATCATTCTTCTTGCAAATTGGACTCGCAGGGACGTCACGGCGCAATGTTCAGGAAGGCATCTGTTGCCCGGCATCCATAGGCTATAGTCCAGCGGCGTAGCTACGGCCGAGCAACATCACGTCGAAGGAAGGTTTCTGACCAAGACCGACATATCTGGGTTCTGCGAAGAGCAATTCTTGCCACACGAGCCCGTGCGTTGCGTTCAATTCCGACTCACGCAACGCTTGTTCGGCGAAGGCAAGCTTTTTGCTTGAATATTGAACCCAGCGTCCGCCTACCGCATTGCCTTACGTGTAGCTCATGTTCATAATCGAACCTTTTTCATACCTTCCCAGGCATCAAACTCCGTGTCTAATTCTGGCTTTGATCTCAGTCGGCGCTCGTTTTGCTCAATTAACTATTGCCTGAGCGCTAGGTGGAAATGGGCATTCAAGAGAGCTCTGGGCTCCAAAATGCGGACGAGGACCTTGAAACCCGCCAGCATAATACTCAACCAACTCCTTGGTACATGGCCATCTATAGCAATGCCTGGTTTCAAGTCCTGTTAATTAGTTTTATCTGCTTTTGTTGCCCTGGAGTTAGTATCAATACACCGCCCCGTTCGTACTTTTCAGGGAGCTTACTGTGATGTTAGATGTATAATGCGCTCTCTGGCTTGGGCGGCTCTGGACAGGTTGACGAAACGGTTGCCGCAAATGCCAATGTTGCTCTTCTTTCGGCGACTGCCGCGACTGCGCTATTTGTTGTAGGCCCGATATTTTCCATTATCGGGCCTCGCGCTTGCTGGCTGGTGGGCGGGTGGACATATGCCCTCTACAGTGCCAGCTTGCTCAATTTCAATAGTAAGCAGGGCTGGCTTCCGCTTTACCAATATGGCGTCACTTACATACCCAGCACAGTTCGAAACAACGGCAGTTTTGTCATCGCTTCTGGCGCAATTCTAGGTGTTGGCGCTTCGTTCTTATGGGTTGCACAAGGAGCGATCATGACGACATACGTGCCTGAGTCACAAAAAGGACGGGCAATTGCCATATTCTGGATTATTTTCAACCTCGGTGGAATGATTGGATCCCTTGTTAGCTTTGGCTTGAATTTCTATTCCACATCGGGGACAGTTTCAAACAGCACATATATTGCCACTATGGCAATCATGCTTTTTGGCTGGGTGATCGGAGTTTTCATCTGCCCACCAACGCGCATCGAACTGCTACAGCTCAAGGAAGCTGAAGATGAGATTGTCCAACAATCTTTAGCGGACAAAGCCCGTACCATCGCCAACACCCTTTTTAACTACAGGATTCTCTGCATTCTACCGCTTTTTTTTTGCGCTAATGTCTTCTACTCCTATCAGCAAAACAGTGTGAACGGCACCACTTTTAACATTCGTACGCGCTCCCTTAACTCTGCTATATACTGGATGGCTCAAATGTTCGGGGGCCTCTTCATGGGCGAGGTGCTTGATGTGCGCCTGCTTCACAGGCGCCACCGCGCTTGGTTAGGCTGGGCCATTCTTATGGTCACGGGTATGGTAATCTGGGGTGGAGGCTACTCCTTTCAGCTCTGGCAGGATAAGCGGCTTGCTCGTGGCCTGAGGCAAAATATCGACTATTCTATCAACGCGGACATCGCAGTGGGCCCGATATTCCTATATTTCTTTTATGGCATGTACGATGCTCTGTGGCAATCGTTTTGCTACTGGCTGATTGGGACCATGTCGAATTCAGCAGCTATTACAGCCGTCTTGGTTGGTGCGTATAAGACGTTCCAAGCTGCCGGGGGTGCCATGGCGTGGAGGATCAATGCGCTGCATAAACCCCCGATGACCCAGCTGGCGATGGACTGGGGATTGTGCATCGGATCACTGGTGATAGCAATCCCGACCGTATGGTCCGTGACGTTGACTAGCGTCAACGTTGCGGCGCTGGCTGATGATAAACTTCATGAGGACGGCACCGATGAAAAGCTGTGATGTATAATTATGGCTGCCTCATTAGTGGGTTTTATTGTATATAAATATTCTCTTGTATTACTATATTGAATCTTACATCATCATCAAAAGTCGTTATATATTGGGGATCATAAACCAATACATCTGCTCTACATTCAGAAGGGTTCATGTGACTTTGGATGGTTGATAAATACCTATAGAATATTCCAGAAAGCCATTACCAGGGCATTCAGACAATCATTATTCTAGGTTATAGAAACAGGTAACATTGCAATAAAGCACGGTAAAATGTACAAAATAGCAGGCCACCCACCAGTAAGCAACTCTTACAGAAAAGTAAACAGATAGCCAACAAAACAGGGGAGCAAGGCACCTATGGTCCATTGGCCAGCAGTGTGACTGTCTCATTATGCTGAAAGACGAAAGACGCCACCGCTTTATTCTCAAACGGGAAAGCAAACTCACAAGAAACAATGGGATTTAAAGTTGGCACACACTGGCTGTATTTGTGAGAGCTCCTTTTCACTCCGAAGTTAATGATCCGCTTTCTTCTTTCGTCTGGTCACAAAATAGGGCATATTATGTGGGATACATTATATTAAACAGGGGCGAGAAAATATTAAGACGCTAGGTATTCGTCCATATGGAAAATTAAAATATGCAGAAATCGAAAGCATGAAGTATCGATTGGGTAAACGAAGAGTGTTAAAGGTCCCGAATGCAGATACTAAACAGAGGATGGTCTGTGGAATCTACCATAGATGTAGCATTTTGAGGATATCATGTCTGTGGAAAAACGAACGGTTGCGTTTACCAAATATGTCTAGGTATTGTCAGCAAAATGAGGCGTACATAGCGGTCTTGATCTTGGAAAAGGGGACTCTTACACATGGGAATGGTTAACAGGCAAATGCCAGCTTGGATAGTGGCGATAGTGATGAAGACTTTCTTTTGGCCGCCATGGACAACCCAGTCATAGGCAAAGTATGTCAGAACAAAAGAAAATAGATTCTTGAAGACAAGAAGGCAAGTAAATGCTTCGACCGCGATTTGACCTGCACACATTAGACTATGATGTACAAAAAAAAATATGAAAGGGGGAACTTACGATGCGCATCGATCAGGTAGAGTGCGCTGGAGACTGCACCCATCACCATTCCTATTAATACCAACGCAAAGAATATATCGGGAGCAAGCCATCCATATTTGGGTATATTATGGGAGACAATGCCGAAACCATACAAGCCCATACAGCTAAAAATGAGCATGGGCAGGACGAGGATTAGTCGAAACTCGGGCTCATATTTTCCTTTGTTAAGGCGGATCATCAATTTGGCAGACCAGTCTGTGAAAATCCCAGAGAGGAAAAGGCCAAGGAGCGAGCCGATGAAGGCACCTGTGTAGAGATAGCCGGTCTTCACCTCATTGAACCACAGTGGTGGACCCAGGAACAATGCAGCAAGCACGACACCTATGAACACAGTCCACCCAATTATCACACCTTGAATGAGACATCCCTAAACACAGAATTAGATGGAGGTGTATTAGAAATATGGACTTCTACTCACCCAGAGAATGCTTGGATGGAAGAAGAGTGGCAAGGGCCTTAAAAGAAGTTTGAAAAAATTCTCATCTGTTTTTCGGCCATTGAACAGACGTAGCGATTGCGAGAACGACATTTTTTGAATGGAGGATGGGTCGATTGGCATGTCTGTATTTTCAGTCACCTCCCTTGCTCTTTTTTCGTTGGATTCCGAGCTTCTGTTTGTCGGCGATTCTCCGCTTGCGCCACTACCCGAGCAGCCTGAAACGCCATTCGATTGGAACTCGGCCTCTGGTATCGGCTGGGTCACATTAGTTCTTTCAGAATCTCCCTCAAAATCCGTGTTCAGATGATTTGCCCGTCGAAAGGCCATTTCAGGGACGAAAAAGTAAACAAGTGGCAGACAGAGACCAGAGAATATCGCGACTAAATAGAAGGTCCATTGCCAACCCAGTGAAGCCGTAATTTTCCCGACAAGGACGGGGGTAAGGAATGCGCCGCCGAAAAGGGCGACGTTAGAGACGGCCATTCGTTTCCCACGTTCCTAAAGGGCGCATTAGAAATGGGAGTCGTCAATATGCGTTCGGCAGATACATACATGGACATAGTAGAGGTCACCCACGGCGGCATTTACCAGTGCCTCGAAGGGAGCCAAGCCAATGCCCTGAAAGATGCGGGCAGCTAGAAGGCTCTTATAATTCTTCCCACTGGCCCCACCCCAGGCAGAGCTGAAGATTATGATGACGTTCCCCAGCAGGAACAGATGGCGTTTACCCCAGATACGCGCCGTTGGCACGAAAAGGAAACCAGCAATGCCGACGGCGCACAGATGGTATCCCGTGAGTAGGGCAATGTCCGTAAAGGTTCGAGAAAACTCCACTGCGGTCGTGACAGTATTTGCGGCCATAAGAGGGCTCGTGGTCGTGCAAATGACAGACACAATAGAGAGAATGGCAAGAATCAGGTCGCGACGCCATAACGGCCAATTCTAACGGCAAAACCGGTTAGCACATCGAGTACGCACGAAATGAGGAGCAGAGCCGGGAGCGCTCGACAACGCACCAAAGGATCGTTTGGGTCATCGCTGGGCTGGGGAACCAGGATGATAGGCACTGGGCCACTGCGATCATATTTCAGGCCCGATAGTTCTGCGCGGTCCGGGTTGACGGGGCTGCTATCATCGTCCAAAATGTATGTGGTCCCTGCGATGAAGTCAGTCGGTGGCACACTTCCGGCGAATACGGACAACGGGCCGCACCAGGCACATTGACGAGCTTTCGGTCTTCAAGCACACCGAGACCCATGGTGGCAAAAGAATAAGGTCGGCGCAGCGCCCGAGGCTGAGGCAAGCGGAAGGATAGGGTGTGGCAGCGTATCGAACAACCGTTATGCGGCGGCCAGAAGTGGCATGACACGGACTCCGTGACTGAGGGAGGGGTTACTGGGGCAGCGAGCAGAGCACACAGAGCACAGCACAGAAAACACGAAGCGTAGGCGGCGTGCTGGGGCAAGGAACAGAAGCACGGCAGCACATGATGGAGGAGGCCAGCGCCGTCGCGCTGCCCGACTTTTTGATCGCCGGGTCGCGAGATGAAGCCAAGTCGAACTAGCTGGCGATCGAGCCGCGATGCATGTGGTGAGCAAACATGAGCGGCTGGCGCCCCTGCGCGCAGGCTGCGCTAGGGTTTCCTCACTGCTCACCGTCGTACCCCAGCCTCGTAGCCTTGTCCGCCTCCGCATTTCCTCGCTCGCTCGTCACCTTCGTCCTCATCTTTCTCTCAACGTCCATCCAAACATCACCCACGCCTCCAGCACTCGCTTTCGATCTCACGCTCGCTCTCGCTGTTTCTTTGCCACACCATCGCCATGAAGTTTATCACCGCTGCTGCCCTGACCAGCCTGGTCGCCCTCGCCTCCGCCCAGTTCCCTGGCCTTCCGGCGTGTGCTGTGAGTTGCCCTCGACCATGGTTTGCTCACTGCTGTGTAGCCATGGCATGGAACCCGCTGCACCGTATCCCACTAACAAGACCCATAGCAAGATTGTGCCACCAATTCCATTCCCAAGAACTGCGGCATCGACGTGAAGTGCATCTGCTCGGCCACCTCGTTCCTTGATGCCATTACTTGCTGTGTTGCTCAGAAATGCTCAACATCCGAGCAGGAAGGTAACGAACCCCTCTACAATGCATCCAACGTTCCTCCGACCCTTTCCCCTCAATATAGCTAACACCTCATTCTAGCCACTATCAAGTTCGCCAACGGTATCTGCGGCACTGCTGGCGTCACCAATCTTCCCCAGAGTGCCGTCTGTTCCACCGCGCCTACCCCAAGTGGCTCATCTTCTTCTTCCTCTTCCCCCACCGCAAGCCGCTCTACTAGCGCCACCTCCGGCTCTGCGTCATCCTCTGCCTTGAGCACCGCGGCCGCCAGTAGCTCCCCGAGGCCATCATCCACCTCCAATGCTGCTGTCTCCAACAATGCCAACGGCGGTGCTATCGCTGCCATTGCTGGCTTGCTCGTGGCTCTCGCGTAATTAGAGTGAATGGAATTATACCAGGCCGCGTTTCACTGGCAGCTAACGTAAATTTCCCTGGTTGTTGCTAACCGGGTTGACAATCGTTCGAAGCAATAATTATCATATTGTATTTAATAATGTTATTTTAATACCCCTATCCTTCTAATATCCCTTTTATGTTCATGGAGTCGATTGTGATATGTGATTGAGCTTGTTTTTAAGTGAATTCAAATACCTATTAGTCGCCGTCGTTCTATCTATGCTATTATTTTAGTCTAGCACTTACAGAGTGCATATGTTACTATGTAGCAGGGCCCCCGGAAACCATTTCTATGTCAGACTAATTCGGTAATTGTTATGTTCGCGCGTTGAAATTTCTCTGACAAGAAAACAACCCTCCTAGAATCTTACCGAGGCACACCACGGTGCTTCTTGAGAAAATTGAAAGCACAAACATGCGCTGCTTTTTTGTTTGTAGGAGCAAGTAGACAAATGGAGGATCTTTGGTTGGAAGTATTCCATTTGGAGACTATCTAGCCCTCGCCGATGATGACGAGTTGGCCCAACCATGCCCATCTGATTCCAAACACCTCGTTCCAGGTCCGAGCTTGTGGCCAAAATCACTTGTCCAGACAAAAGTAAACCAGACAACAGGCGCGTGCCTTTGCAACGCTTGAACATAGCACAACAGAGCCTTGGTAATCTAAGGGTAAGGAATCACATACTTCCCAAAACTATGGCCTGCAGACATCGTTCAATGCAGCGCTGCTCATTGTCGAGCGCATGAAAAAGCTAGCAAGATTGATAAGTACTCTGTATGCCTCTCATTTCAACACGTAGGCGGAGGTTAAAATCTCACCCAGGAAAAAAATGACACCTCCATAAATCCGTACCCTAGAATAATTTTCCATTTCAAATCGCCAATTGTTATCATATCCGTGGGGTTGCTGGGGGCGCCAGGCGCTGCAGACCTGGCTCTCCCCACCCACGCACTCTCTGGCAACGAGAAAATCTTCGCTGAAACAATAAAATAGATACAAAATCGCAAGACGGTAAGGTATGTGAATATATGGCGATATAGCGCGGAAAATTCAGATGCTACCTTGATCACTTCAGCAGTAACATGGGAGATCTCGCTGCCCCGCCTCTGTCCCCTTTGTTGATCGGCAGAGTCTGGTCGCTCAACTCCACCCGGTTCTCTATGGTCACGGCGAACACAACTGGCAACGGTAAGGAGGCGGTTCATGGAGGGAAGGTTCAGTGTAAGACTCAGGTCAAACAAAGCGAATATGAGAAGAATGACACCGCAGTAGGCGAAAGGCGAGCGGGGAGGGGTGAAAGGTGGGATGTTCGCCTGAATAACGGTGTTAGAGATACAATTGCAATAGACACTAGCATCACTGGAGAATGCGATCTCACAATCCTCGGCTGATCTCGAAAGGTGAAGATGAAGCCGGAATCAACAACGGTTTCCGGGGTCCAGGTTAGATAGACAGCAAGAGAGAATTGGAAAAGAGCGTGAAGCTGAATGAAGCTTCGGGATGAGAGGCCCATGGCCACCCTCAGAGGGCCTAGCCCTGAACTAGAGAGTCGAAGAGATAGAGCTTGAAGGTGGCCTGGTGTCCTGCGTTCTCCCTCGCGTGTTTACATCATGAACCGATTATTCCGTCAGAGCGCGGGAAACTTCGGGATTTCGAGCTGAGGCTTGGCATAGGCTATAGCCTCCGCGTCGACGCTGCGGCACACGCAAAGCTTCTCGTCTCGATTGAAGAAGGTCGAGGCAGACGAGATAGTGCAATCTACCTAGGCTGGCCATGGCGGACTCACCGTTCTTCTGGAAAGACCGCCATATTAAATACTTTCTGCGCTGTCTCAAGACCTTCCTCCCACACCAGTATACCCCCAATGATGCCAACCGCATGACGCTGGCTTTCTTCGTTGTCGCCGGCCTGGACTTGCTTGGCTACCTTCACACTGGCCTTTCCGCGTCTGAAAGACAAGGTTACATAGATTGGGTCTATCATTGCCAGGTGCACTCGGGCGGATTCAGAGGCTTCACGGGAACCAATTTTGGGGATGCCAAAAGAACAAGCAATAATGAATGTTGGGATCCGGCTAACTTACCGGCGACTTTCTTTGCTCTGGTCACGCTACTGATCCTGGGCGATGATTTGGCACGCGTGAAGAGAGAAGACTGCTTGAACTGGCTTCAGACAATGCAGCGGGCCGACGGGAGCTTTGGCGAAGTCCTAGGGCCAAACGGAGAGATCGCAGGTGGTAGAGATCTACGGTTTTGCTGCTGCGCGGCTGGGATCAGATATATTCTGCGAGGAAGGAACCCAAACCTTTTGGCAGTCGATGATATTGATTCTTGGAAGTTGAGGTCATTTGTTTGTGCATCTCAGGTAAGGAGGAGTTTTAAACCCCAATGGACTATGAATTTCATATTGACAATTGTCAAAAAAGACGTACGACGGTGGATTTGCGCAGGCGCCAGGGCTAGAATCTCATGGTATGCCCAAGCATTCTCTAGATGCTCAATACTGGATTTCTAGCTGACATCTGTCTTTCCTCCAGCTGGACTAACGTACTGTGGGCTTGGTGCATTACACTTTCTTGACCACCCTGAAGAAAATCTAGATAATAGATGTTACACTTCCTCAAGGGTAATAGATGCAGGTGAGCTGGGTGACGAAAAATTTGAGTCACTTGTGCGATGGCTGGTATTTCGCCAAACCAATCTCTTATACGATGATAACGAAACAGATGATGATGACCATGTTGACGATGTGAAGCAGCCTGTGAAGTCATTTTCGCCCGACGAGTCAACAGACGAGCAAATACATCTTTTGCCCTTTCTCCCAGAAGCTTCTCAATGGCCGATAGAGCAACAAAGCTGCGCAGGCTTCAATGGGCGAACTAACAAAATCTCAGACACCTGCTACTGTTTCTGGGTTACTGGGTCGCTGGCGGTAAATCATGTCCTGACGCGTTTTTCTGTTGCAAAGCTGAGATCTCGAGCAGTTGTTACACCGCGTAAACGTGATAGACGCCGAAGCATGCAAAAAATATCTCCTGGAGAAAACGCAGCATTTGGTCGGCGGTTTTGGAAAAGGCGTCGGCGAGTTACCTGGTGTGTAAAAGACTCTCCAAGACACACCTGGTTCTGACAATTGGTTTTTAGATGTCCTGCATTCGTATCTCGGGTTAGCGAGCTTATCGTTGTTGGGTGAGCCAGAAATCGATCGAATTGATCCGGCTTTTTGTACCAGTAAACGTGCGCGACAGCATCTCGAATCGTTACCGTGGTGGAAGGGCCAGTAAGCCTCTTGCAGAAACGGGAGCGTTTCAATACCTGCAACGCCCTTTGGCCGTGGTAGCTTTGATGGTCGGATTGCGTGGGGGAAGTCAACTTGTGGCCCCTGTATACCCCTGCTGGACCCTTGTTTTGGTCTTTCTCGACGGTATTTTGCACTTGAATTTATTTTGAAATCCACGGAAATCCTCCAGATCGGGTTTTTGATGTCTAGCCCGTGCATATAGGGTGAAAGGGAGTACACAAGTACGCAGTAACGCACACCGATTCGCCCGATTTAAACCAAGGGAACAGGTCTCGAGGCTTCGCCCCGAAATGCTTAAACGAGCCTAAATCAGCAACACGGGAAATGAGATGGACGTGGAGACTCGTTTGTGGCAGCAGGATGGGCCCGGAGTAATGCCACGCGTTAGGCTGCAAGCCGCAGCTTGGGCACTGCTGGGACAGGGGCCCGTTACTTCCACGCCGCCCAGCCCCAGCACTCGCTTTTGCGCCGCAGCAATTGGCCGGCGACGTTCTGTTCGTCACTGCGACCAGCGCCCGCCCAGACCGCGCTAGCACAAGGCTCAAGCGCTCGCTGCTGCACGGCGCCCGTATCCCAGCTGGGCAAGCTTATACTTGGGTGACATATCGCTCCGGCATCGCGGAGCCTCGTGCCCACAAGGTCCGGCTACTTGCCCCCTCTGTCTGGAAAAACACTGCATGGCCTTCCTCAGAATACGGACAGTTTGATCCCCAAGCCGCCCGCGCCTCAAAAAGAATGCGGAAGGCAAATTTAGGGTGGATACTCCTTATGGAGTACTATGTGTTTCCGTCGTGTTTCCTAACGCTAAGTGAGCTACGATCACACTGAACCGGAATTCCACTGGGTGCAAAGAAACAGAAGCTAAAATAATGCCTGAACCTAATGCACGGCGTATTTTTATGTGCCAATTACAGAAAATCTTTAAGCCGCACCGCCAGGCTGGCGGAGGGGGCATACCTGTTTTTGGAAAACGAGGCTTGCGGAGAGGCGGCAGGGAAAAAAAAGAAGAGAGATCGTGATGGCGGACCTATTTATACGAGCCACCATCTCGCCCGGTTTGCAGTGCTTTTCCTCAAGCCAAACATTCCCTCTCCCAGCAACCCTTCCTAGTGCCGCCGCTTTCCTTATTATACACAATCTCCAATTAGAACCAAGAGCAAAATGCTTCTCTCTTCCTTAATCCTCTTCTCTGGTGTTGCAGCGGCTGCCACAACCCTCCAAGCCGGAAGCCATACCCCCGAGGAAGCATTGGCTGTACTACAAAACCGACAGATCGAGTACTGCAAAGAGATAAAGCGGCCCTATACTTGCGAGAGATCGTGTGGTCCAGGATACACAGAATGCGGTGCCTTCCCGCATTGCTACAATCCCACTAAGGGAGAGACCTGCTGCCGCAATGGAAGTAAGTGTCAACCTATTATCTCCAACGGAGCATAGCACAGATCTAATTGCCTTGAAGAGTACTGCCCTGCTGGGTACTACTGCACAGATGCCGGCTGCTGTCCCTCGAGCAAATCCCTGGCCGAATGCGGCGCCACTGTCAAGCTGACTGCATCCCCTCCATCCGCTACCACTACTGCGCCCGCTGTACCCGACGACCGTAACTCGACTTCGGTCCGCACTTCCAGCTCAAGATCTTCGTCCACTCGGACATCTATTCAACTATCCCCAACGAGCAGCGAGAGTAACGATTTCCCCGGCACCACACCATTGCCTCCATCTGCCATCCAACCGAGTATTCCATCCAGCTCGCCGGCCAGTCCGCCCGCACAAACCCGGAATGCGGCGGGCAAATTGGAGGGAGGTATCTTAGCCGGTGCATTTGGCATGTTGGCTATGGTTCTGTGAACAATCTGAGGAAGCAAAAAATCCCATCTTGTCCAAACATACCCCTTTTTATAATAATATACTTTGTGAGCATTTGTGGGAACGAGTTTGGAGGAAATTAAATGTATTTGCACATAATTGGCATGTAGTAACATCGATAATGGAATCCTTACGGCCGCTCAGGCTTAATTGAACCCGCTTATGATATTTGGGGTTTGGATCCCAGTCCCCACCATGTATTTATTCCTCAGCTGTCGCGAAGCGTACGGAGTAGACGCCATGCGAAAAGTTAGTCAATAATATTTATTTGCGCGAGCGGCTCGATCGAGTTACAGGCGTCATCACCAGCCAGGCCCGACCTGCCGTGCCTGACGGGAGTCGTGGCGTCTGCCGCCAGCCTATGCAGTCGAAGCATCACAAGCTACTCCGTACAGGCTTGAAGTTCGAAAAAGAAGGCCGGCGAGCCTCTTCGGCGCTGGGCACGGGCACGGCGGCGGTGGCGTTGGTTCTTGTCGTCGTCGTCGTCGTGGCCGTCGTCGCCTCTAAAATAGCGTTTCGAGAACCCGTCAACTCCACGCAACCCTTCATCTCGCTGCTAGATCCCATCCTATCGCCTCTACCGCGACGCTGCCTGAATTTTGTCTTTTGCAGCCAGTCTCTCCTCTCCGCCATTAGCTTGCTCTTCCACCCCCCCCCCCCCCGCTCGTCAATCGTCATCGTCCGCGGCTGGGAACAGGGATTCGAATCCAGCACAAGCTTGTCCCAGACGCAATTCTCCCCCTTTCCCGTAACTACTCTTATCCTGAATGGAACGTCCCGAAACCTGTCACGACACCATCGTGGATCATTTCGAGTGGGTAGAATTCATGATTGCTCTGCCCTCGTCGAGCAACACATGCCGCCGTCTAAACTCAAGGCCGAGTCGCAGCTTCATAAGGAAAAGGTTGGTTGCAATGCCTGTTTGACCCCCTGCCAGGCAAACGGGCGTTTCTTCCCTCGTGCTTTATTTTACCGGCGTTGTGACGGTTGATGGACGACTGACTGGTAGCTATCTTATGCAGCTGATAAATTCCTACAATGAGCTTCTCGAGTACGCCTAACCCATCTCCCCCTTTCCGGCATCGTTGTGCGCAACGTTGGTGTTTTTTTTTGGGAGTCGGCCCCTATTGACGGACAACTTAATTTTAGGGAATTCTCGTCGAAAGACCTGCGCAATGTGGGGAACTATAATCTAGGGAGACTCATTGGCAAGGGCTCGTTCGGCAAAGTCTACCTCGCCTCCCACAAGCTCACAAACGGTTCTAAGGTGCGAATTTGTCTGGGTTGCGAAGTCAATAATAAGGAATTAATATTTGTCTATTGATAGGTTGTGCTCAAGTCCTCAAGTCGAGATGACTCCAATCTGGCCCGTGAGATACATCACCATCGGCAATTCATTCATCCACATATTGCCCGCCTCTATGAGATAATTGTCACGGAGAAATTGGTCTGGTTGGTTTTGGAATACTGTCCTGGTGCGTACTGAGTCGATTGCGGCTACCGCTCGTACACATACTGAGTTGTGGGTCTGTAGGCGATGAGCTATACAATTACCTTCTTCGCAACGGGCCAATGCCCATTGAAAAAGCGCAAAAGATATTTACACAGCTAGTCGGCGCTGTGGCGTATGTGCATAGTAAATCCTGTGTACACCGAGACCTCAAGCTGGAAAACATTCTGCTGGATAAACATGAAAATGTGAAACTATGCGATTTCGGTTTCACCAGGGAATATGAGGGCAAAGCCAGCTACCTCCAGACGTTTTGTGGCACAATTTGCTACAGCGCACCAGAAATGCTAAAAGGCGAAAAGTATGCTGGAGAAAAAGTTGATGTTTGGAGCTTGGGTATCATCCTATATGCCCTGGTTGCTGGGGAGCTCCCATTCGATGACGATAATGATCAAATAACAAAGACGAGAATTCTCACTGAAGAGCCGAAATATAACGACCGCTTCCCTGAAGATGCAAAATCATTAATTGGCTCACTATTGTCAAAGCGGCCGCTTCTCAGACCCAGCATCAGCGACGTCCTAGCTCACCCGTTCTTAGCGGATCATGCTCCCCAGCAACAAGCCATTTTGAAGCTATCGCGGCCGGAATTATTTTCCACACCATTGGAAAAGACTACCCTAGAGCGGATGCGAAGTGCAGGCGTCAACACTGACCAGGTTGTGGAGAATGTACTGGCCCAGCGTTGCGACGCGCTCGCTGGATGGTGGGCTCTGCTGATAGAGAAAGAGGAAAGAAAAGAGAAGCGGAGGGAAAGGAAACGCCGGGAGCGGGAAGCTGAAGCAAAGAACCTCCGGCGACTCAGCGCGGCCAGCAGCCGTCTGGAGCGGATTTCCGCTGCTCTTGTTGAGGTTGATGAAGAAGGCCACAGTTCCGAACCTCTTCGCAGCAGAGGGAGGCCCAACAGACGCAGCATACCAACGCGTAAGTGTCTCGATATCTTTTTGGGCTTCTAAGCTGAATCTTTATATTTTTGTAGCCCAGCTTTTAATACCCGATCTCCCCAAACTTCCTGAAGGGGGCGTTGTCACCTCTCCGTGCGAAAGTATTCCTCCGCCTCCTATCGAAAAAGACGGTTCCATTCGCTCCCTTAGTTCTTCTCGTACTCGACCCATACCCCCGCCGAAGGAAAGACGTGTTTCTCGCGGGAGTACTCTCCATCTTAGCGCATCGCAACCGGACTTGATGCGCCCTCACGGCATATTAAAACGCCCTGGCTCTCGGCGACGTCAATATCCTATTTTAAGCCAACTTGCATCTCTCAAGCATTGGCTTGTAGAGTCTACGAAACGAGCCAAATCTCCCCATCCGAAGTCTTTCGGACATCCAAGCGTGTCTCTCAAGTTTCTCAACAGTCCGGGAAAGAGCAAAAATGCTTCGAAACCAAATTTATCAACTCCTACTAGCTCAAGTAACAAGCCTGGTCAACAAACACCTCCCCAGGCAAAGCGAGTATCCACTGCAAGTAGCCTGGCACCAAGTAATGCTTCATATCCCGGAGCTGTGCGTCCTTCCTCAATTACCCAGCCACCCCGACACCCCAACAACAGCTCTTCACGGCATCGAAACTCCTTATCACCCTCACCGCTGACACCAGCCAATTCTTATCGTCGCTCGTCAGCCGGTCTGAGAGGGCGGAAATCGACATCTTCTTCTGTTTCATCTATTCGCACCATTCACCACGCACATTCTCACTCCAAAACCTCCTCGGTATCTTCCAACAGCATGGACACAGCTTCCACGCCAACTGGTAGTTCAATTAAAGCTTTAGCTGTTTCCCGATCACCTCATACTTCTATCAAAGTCCTGCCGACAACGCCTAGCGCATCCACCCGTTTCCCTAATAACATTCGCCTCGTCCGAAACATCCATAACGCAAGCCACGGTAACAGTGCTCTAAATACCTCCTTTAACGAGCCCTCTCCAACCCCCATCATGTCCTCGCCGTCGTCAAGTCTTGTGTTTGCTCGACGAAAGCGATCTGCATTCAAAGGCCCGTTACTAAATACCTCCATGACTTCTGTCAGCGGATCCACAACCCCTGCACTGTTGAGAAGGAAAGAAGCATTATTTCCTGCCGCGTCTAACGACCCATCTCTTGGCTCCAGAAAAAGTCAAATTATTGAAGAGGAAGACGAATGCTTTGAAGACCATGTGTTTGAGGATGAGGATGTTGACGAGATTGATGGTTTCAGCCCTGTTGACGAGAAAAGCCCAACTTTTGTTTGTGCCCGTTCGTCGCTAGATATCGTTTCTTCCCGATCTTCCCCTGTTCCCGACACATTTGGTCCCAGCGCTCCAGGATTGAGCTCCGCCATCCGCGGTGTAAACTCTGCGGAGCCCCAACTTCTTCCTGCTGCAGAATTCGCAGAGCCGTCTGAATTTTCCTCTTCCTGCCCTTCCGTTTTCCACTCTGACTCTGACCCTTTTCGACCTCCACGCTCATCCTCTTTGCTAGAATCTACGAAGCCTGGCCCTCTAACGGGTGCTGTAACAGCTGAGCAACCGAACGTTTCAACTGCGGATAAATCACTGGACGCCGCTCCTGGAAGTCCCAAAAAATCGTAATTTCTGGGAGAATTACTAAGATTAGATGACTTTGGAATCACTGCTGCCTGGCTTTTTTATACCCTTTGGTACTACGTTCTTATACTCTAGATATTCTATCTCTCCGGTATCTAACCGTCATTTGGCATATGAAACGCGTCAAATCTGACCATTTTCTTTTGGTTCACTTTACCCCCCTTTTGTGAAATAACATCATAGACTCACCTTCTGTCTTCTGCTATGAAATGAATTTCTTTTGTTAGTGATGTTTTCCTTTATCAAGTGCCCCTACGCATGGCCCAAGCCTTCATCACTGCCTCCGGTTTCTTTCTCCTGTATGTAGTTTTACTCCCATCCCACAGATTTCGTGGTGTTTATACAAGTTGCTTTCTGTGTGCGGCATCCCCCGATAAGAAGAATTATTTGGACTAGCCCGTGAGAACCAAAGAATCGGGATTTCAATTTGGTCAGCGTAAATACAAACAAGCAACTGTGAAGGTAGTAAGTTCACTGAATTTTTCAAAGGTCCGGAGAAAACCGAGTCGATTCTTCTCTTTCAAACGATTCTGGGCTTCATACAGAGTACAAGATGTGTCAACAAAGCTTTATTCACAAATACACCTCCCAATATGAGATATCCTTAGGCCCGCAGTGATTGGTTATAACACATCATGGTATAAAAAGGATGATAACAGCTCTACGGAGTACAGGCAAGTGAATTGATGGTTGTTGTGGACGAGTAGGGCAATACTTCCATTCCATGTGCTGTGGCAAGCAACGGAATTTTGAACGGCGGAGAATCAATTAATGGAGATAGAATTGTCAGACACAAATACCCAAACAATTAGTTACCGAGTTTGCCCGGAAGGAGGAGCTATTCAACTCCGAGGCAATCCTTCAACATATTTATTATACGCCACGAACAAACCGAGATTCACCACTTCCAGCACAAGCAGGTAAATGCAAATATCAAAATCCGAGAACGATAAAAAAAATGGACAGAATGCCAAACTAACACTTCCACCCGACCTGAATTTTTTACATGTTACAGGTCCTCTTGAAATCTTGAGCCACGCGGAGCTGTTTTTGATTGGGGCGTCGCCTCCATTGGCACTGGATGATCAACTGAGACCGGTGCACTCGAAGGCCCAGCTTCCGCCTCCTCGGCGGCAGCTAAGACTTCCGTGCGCTTTTGAACTTCAAATGATCCTTGTTTCCCTGTATCCGCTGGCGCAGACCGACCAAAAAAGCCCCTGAAGCTGAAGCGCTCGGACGAGCGTTTCGAGGAAATGGGTTGTTTTTGTTTCCCACGCCCGAGTGATTCGCCATCGTTTGAGGTGCTCCATTGGCGAACTATGCCTCCCATTCCTTCGCCAGCCTGACGGGGTTCCTCCTGGTGTACTGAGTCTTCTGCAAGCGGTGCTGCAGCGGATGCTGCGGGCACCACTGGGTGTTGGGTAGCCGTAGCATTTTGTCCTGTTGGCTGCGCTACATCCCTCTCCACTTGAGCAGGCGTCTCAGGAAAGTCACCGGCGCGGGATGGCTCCCCGGAAGTGTCAGAGACTACACTGGGTTGGAGGGTTGGATGTGCTTTAGCACTGCCGTTCATCGCTGCTTGTTCGCCAGCTGTCTTCTGAGTCCTCTTTTCTTCGAGAGATAGAGCTTCCTCCGCCTCACTTCGGCGCTTTCTTTTGGCACCGTCAACATCTGTCATCCTAGGCTGCTTCCATCCCCCACTGGCTTCTTTTCTTACAATCCCTATGAATAATCAGTAGGAAGAGATGATATGGAACCGGAACAACTTACGTAGTAGTTTTTGGTGCACCTTCTTCGTTTCAATCTCTCTCTGCTTTAGCGTCTTCCGATGCTCCTTCTCCCGGGCTGAGTCAATTTTCTTTGTGAATGTCTCTGACTTCTTCCGATCAACCCCGCGGTCAATCGCATCCAGGGTTGGTTGCAGAGTGGTTCGAGCCAGGGCCTGCACGTTCGGATTATCTTCAAGCTTTGTCCCAGCTGGGGAAATAAAAGTTGATGTCGGTGGGGCCCTTATGGCCATTGCTCGCTCGTTTGCTTTGCGTTCCCATTCGCGCAGTACCGCTGGAGACGGCCGTCCTGTTCGCATATACAAATTCTGATCAATGATATCCAATGTATTATCCGCCCTTTTGCGAGCCATTTTCATAACCGCATCTTCTTCAGGTGCATATGTATTGTCATGCATATCATTAATACCATTCACAGTATGTGAACCATTAGTCATTCGCAACGAATGTCTTGCAAACCCTCTTCGCGAAATGCTTCCACGTGTAAAGCTGCTAGTCTCTGCATCCCCGCTTGATAGCCGACGTCCTCTCGAGGAAGCGATCGAAGCAGGCCTAGAAGAAGGCCGAGGGTTTTGGTACATCCTGGATAACCTTTGCTCGTCATCCATTTTAGCTAGGCGTAGAGACACTCTTTTCTGTGCTTCAGACATTAGATCGACCTCCCGGCGTCTTGATTCTAACGGTAACATCTGTTGTCCAAGGAAGCCAGGGTGCTCTGAAGCTTCAAGTTCAGCGGGCGTTTCTGCAGGAGGTGCGGTCGGATACAATTGTTTTGCCATCGTCAAAGCAGCCGCCTTCTGTACTCCCTTTTTTGTGGCTTCATCTTGTGTTCCCCGAAATGGCAATGAAGAGGCTAAACTTTGTTGGGTTCTAATCATCGCAACTTGATGGATTTTTACAGGATCGAACTGGGGTTCTCCATGACCGGTTACAACTTGCTCTTCTTTAACTGCCCTTTGACTAGCAAATGCTGCGGGCAGCGCCTGGGACAAGTCTGGAAGTTCATCCTGAAGTGCTCTTGGTTCAGCCTTTTGGGTGACCACCATAGCCCCAGTCGCAGCCTTCCTTGCCCCTTGGTCGTTTGCCAGTAGTTTCTTAGCCATTGTCGCCTTAGTTTCAAACGTTCCAGTATGGTTATGAGCTGTCTGCAAAGCCGCTTTTGAACCCGCCTTACTCAGCTTGGCCTCATTCGGGGTGATCAAATTGTCCGCTATTATAGGCTGGGTTTGTGGTCGGTGGCGAATGCTCGCCATGGCTCCTTTGAAGGCGAAATCCTGGTCATTCATATAAAGGGGGTTTTTATTATTCAGGGGAGCTCCATGGGTTTTGTGGGGATAGGCAGGTTTCTCCGCTAACAAAAATCAGCCGCGACACCCTTATATTGATTCTACATTTCAGTTTCAGTTACCTTGTGAACGTGCAGCTGGGGCCCGACTGTCAGTCTTATCCGTTCTCAGCCGGTGGGTGGTTCTAGTCACATAGTATGCGGTGGAGGAAGCTGACGCAATATTAGCCACGAATACACATATAGTTAACTAACTAGAGCAACGCTCTGACCATGACCTAACTCTCGTTTCAGCGGTACTGGATTAGTACTGGGCAGATTTGGGGGGCCGTTAGACATGATATTCGATGTAGACGTGAATCATGCGGACATAGATAGGTGTCTGACACATTGCAAGTGTGGCAGGTCATGTTTGAGAGAGCGCAAGGCACGAAGCTTGGAGGGGCGTCCAGGCGAGTTGTGGGAGAGTTTCGCTGGCCCGTTTCTGGGAATGACGTCGCCGGACGTTCGTTCGAGGTCCAGCCAAGCAACGACCCTGCATGACGGTGGCGGCCTAGAGGGTCCGGATGAATATATATCCGTACCCCGACAACAGTCAGCAAACAAGACAAACAAGACTACAACCAGGCGATTCGGCTTCGAAAGGGAAGATTGGACCCCAAATAAAAGTCATGGCTAACTACGCAGTGCATAAAACGACCAGCAGAAAGCTCACATGGGCCTCTATTCAGAGTCGGACAAGAACATATCATGTGAATGATCTACTCTTCAACCCTCCTATTATTAGTGTTAAGTCTTCGCTTTCGTTTAATCAACGAAAGGTAATTATGTCAGCAAAGTCCCGAAGATGCTTGTCTTGCTTGATTGACACAAAAGACAAATTGTAAGAAAGTCAATCTTAGCTGTTCATCTTGTGCTGTACATGCATAGCTGCTTAGGCCCTCCTTTCAGAATATGGATATTAGGGGAAATAGTAACAATACATACAGAGCACAGTTTAATCAAATTTTCCGAACGTCGTAGTTACCGTTCAAGCTCGAATAAGTGAATTTAATTCCAATTTACTACTGTAACATTATACTATGTTTTGAGGGTTGGTGGCATTCCTTCTCTCCTCAGCAGCATCGGCTCTAAGCATCCGGTCTACCCCCAAGCGTACGCTCTCAGCCATAGCGCCGCTAGCTCTCCCAGTTTTTCCAAATAAACATTGGTATAAGTCGCTATCCCTGACCCTTTCCCCCTCCGTAGCTCCTCCCAATAATGTTCCCAATGCAACTTCTTGCATCTCAAGGGAGTTTGCAGCATCAAGAATGTTCTCTGTAAGACTAGGCGGGTCTAGGTTGGTGTTAGGCCGTTGGGAAAGGTTGTTTGCGTTCGGTTTCTTCTGCTTCTCCACAATATGGGCAAGGCGGCGAGAGACTGAAATTTGATAAATAGACTCCTCTACAGTGCCGGATATGAGATACATCCAGACAGTGGTTTCGCGGTGTTGACCAATTCTGTGAACTCGAGCAATCGCCTGAAGCTCGATTGCAGTATTAATCAACGGTTCACAGAGAAACACATGTGTTGCGTTTAGGAGGTTCAGGCCTGATGAATGTGCCTTGGCATGCAAAAGAAAGCATTCGACCTGGCTTATCATTAGTAGGCAATCCGTTTCTTCTAGTAACCATAGATTTAAACGTACAGATGGCTTTTTTTTGAACAGCTCGATGCCATTCGGACTATCAATGCTACTATATTCAATCTTAAAACGGCTGAAGGCGCTGGCCAAAATTCCTAGAAATGACTTGTATTGAGAAAATACGATGGATTTGGCGCCAGGGTCATGCTGTCGTAGCCAGATAAGATGGCGAGAAAGTGTGTCTATTTTAGTGCCAAAAGAGCCGCTCAGCTCAATGTTTTTTATTTCTTTCAAGTCATCGCGTTTTATATCCGAGTAGATAGCATTCTTCATAGAATGCCCGGATTCATCTTGTCCTGGGGTTTTTTCTTCTTGGATGAGCAGTTCGGAAGGTTTGTATGTAATTTGATGCAGTTCATTTCGCGCCAGACGATGTTTGCATGCAGGGCAGGTCCTATGTTGACGCCACCAAAGGTGTAGGCATTCTTTACAATATTTATGACCACATACAGTAAGAACCCCTACAGAAAGAGCCCCAGTTAGCTAGACCCAAATTCACCACTTGCGAAACATACCTATTTCGAAAGAACTCTGGCAAATAATACAAATCCTAGAACTTTCATCCCCATTAGTTTCGTCACGCAAATGAATTAGATATCGACGTTTAGACTTCAGTCCAGATATACTGGTCTTTAATTTATCCTCAGCCTGTATGTTCGAGTTAAACTGCGCTTTATCCAATGGCATGCCCTTGGATTCCTCATTGTAGGGAGCTACTGTGTCAGAAATTTGTTGAAGGTGTCGATAGTATTCCAGCCTCCGGTTTGTCACATTTTGGAACAAAATAATCTCCTTTTCTAGCTGGCTCGCTACTTTTGAGTGTGTGGAAAACATTGTGCTCACAGATTTGGTAATTCCTTCGATGATGGTAAGTTCAGATCTAGCGCGAGCACTACCGCCACTCTCTTGCCATTCTAAGGATGTCACTAATGTTCGAAGTTCATTTAGTATCCCTCGTAAAGAACCAAGCTCTTTCGGGGGCTTCAAGTCCTTGCAACAACCCATTAAGGAGATGAACAGCCTCGGAGAAGGCCCTCCACCTATCCTAGCTTTCTCAATAGCTTGTGTCATTTCGTGGGTAACCAAGGCACTTGTCTGACCTGTAATAGCATCATGATAGTCCGCTACCATTGCCCGAACGGCCTCCATATAAACATACATTTCCTCCTGAACTTTTGTCGAAGATTCATACTCATCACCTTGCAGATTCGTACCATCCTCTTCGTCAACCAGTGGGCGTAAAATCAGCTGAACCATGTGAGTTCTCCATTTTTGTAGTGTGGTCGCATGTCGATTTACGACATCGGAAAAATTCTCGAGCCGCTCTAATACCCGCCGGCTTTCTATGCCACCAGGGCGTAGGTCAGCCGTAAGATAGGGAATTTGAATAAAGGCCTTCCTCTCAGCTTTTTCTCTGATTACATTAAGCCTTTTGTTGACCCTGTGGCTCGTCTCTGCCAGCATTTCCTTCCTGATCAGCTTTGCTGCTTCATAGTTCTGTTCTTCCAGCCTTTCCAGTGTCATAAACTCTTTGGAATCACACGATGTTAGGTCAAGATTTGATTTAATTTGATAATATGCACTGGCGATGAAGAAAGTGCTGATATGTTCAATTTCCAGTGCGGATCGAAGTCGTTGTTGATAAGAAGCAATACGACTCTTTTCTGCGTCGTCCGCTTCCTCATCTTCATCAGACAAACTATCACCACTCTCATCCTGGGAATTCTTAAGAACTTCAGCAAGTTGATCCCTGCAATCTGCGACGATGTTTTGTGCTGAGGACAACGACGCCTTCCATATTTCAAGGGCGGCTTTAGGATTTTCCGCATTTTCTTGCAACTGACCCCGTCGAATTTGAAGTAAAAGAAGTCTTCGTTCCTCGGAGCGTATTTGCATGTCATTTTGATCAATCATAACTTCTAGCACGTCGGCAACCGACCGGAGAGGGCCGCTACCAAATGCCCGTTTTCCAGAAACGGTCGTTATTTCAGGATGAAGGCAGGCCTGGCGGAGCCTATTCAGCCATGACCTCATTTTTTCAATGGTCCTTATGGAGTATACATTCGACTCTAGGACACCATTCTGGTACTCTTCTTGCCTGATGCCGCACTCCTCACACATTTGTTTGAAAAGCTGCTCATAATGCTGCTCCTCGACTGCAGTAAACGGTATGGTGATAACAATACGTTGTTGGCGAGGTAGATGCAGCTCATCACATACCTGACTTTTATTGTGACGCATGACAAGCGTCTGGATTAGGGTTTTAAAGTAGGGCCGGGAATCTTCGTAGAGGCGAGTCCAGGCATCAAGAGAAGAAGAGAAGGGTTCACACTGTAGAAAGCGAAGAAGACCAAATAAGTCCTTCATGTCTTTTCGCAATGGTGTGCCAGTGACGGCCCAGGCATTGCATCGCGGAATCAGAAGAGCCACTTTCGCCGCATTAGTTACTCCGCTTTCAACCATCTGGGCCTCGTCTATACATACTCGCCACCACGATATTTGAACTAATGGGGATTTCCGGCGCGGAAGTCTTTTCCGGTTTCGCAAGGCACGATCAGGAGGATCCTGTGCAAAGTGTAAATCTCTTTGAAGTGCATTGTAGGTCGTAAGAACTATGTCTTGAGAAGCGAGTTGCTGAATCAAGGTGCCATCTGTCTTTCGGCTGTGTTGCATACCCGGGTAATACATGACTTGGATATCTGAAAGATGTCTCGAAATTTCCTGCCTCCACTGCTCTAATATAGAAGAGGGTGTCACAATCAAGCTTGCTCCTGATCTGACAGGACCCCCGTCGTAGCTAGGTCGTTGGATATCAGATTCTGGGCGTCGATGCAAACAAATGAGTGTCAATAATTCCACCGTTTTCCCAAGGCCCATTTCCTCAGCAAGTATACCACCCTTCAGCTGCTTTGAAAACGACCACTGCGAGATATCGGAAACGGCAGCGTGATATAGATGACTGACAAAACAGCGGCGACCGTCAGCATCTGTACACCGAGCGAAAGATAGTGGTAAAGGTTGCTCTCGGGTAAGTAAATGCAGCGTGCCGTCAGCAAGAGCTTCCACGCCCTCTCTTTCCAATAACCACCCTACGGCCCTCCGTTGGAATGGATACAGCCGGTAGTTCAAGGATTGATACCCACGGATTAGTGATAAATCAATATCTTTTTTGGGAACATGAACATTGTTGTAGAAATCACGGGGAGCCCATTGCTGAGCTTTGCGGTCAGAAGGCACCCGAGAGGAAAAGTTATCGCTCGGGGTATGGGATAGCTGGTAAGCAAAGAACTCATCAAAAGCCTTCTTATGTCCAGGCCTACACAATATGTCGATACTTGGAGGACAGTCTCTCCAGAAAGCTCTAAAAACAAGGTGAAAAGCCAATTCGTTGTCTGCATCGCGACGGAAAAGGCATTGTGAACAGGTAACGGTTTTCTTGCCTGTGCCGTACACAGAAGGAAAATTGCGGAGATATCTGAAGGCCGAACAGCACGCTTTCAAATCAAAGCTTTCCAAAGAAATGCAAGAATTTGCAGATTGGATTTCCGTAGTTACGTTGCCGGTCGTACGGTCTTTTCGAGTGGCTATCAGCACTGGAATTGGTGCTAATACATAGTCTAGCCCAGTACACGAAGTCGATAGTTCGCGAAAAGTCTGCCAGGTGTGGATTAGCAAGCAGGGTAGGTACAGCTAGGTACGGCATGCCCTCTTACAACTTGAAGATCCACGCGAAATAGGGTCAGGAAATTGGAAAGGAGCTCTTCCGACGCTTCAATATTGCTGAACGCTCTGACGCTTTTAACTTTTCTTCTTTTAACAGGGCGTTCTTCAGTGTGTTGCTCGTCATACTTGACAAATAGGGAGTGAAGCTCCTCTGGAACAGGCCCTATCAATTAATCAGCGCGCACGGGAAGGAAGATGAGTAGTTGGCTAGTTAGCTACCCGGAATTGTCGCCTCGCATGCAAATGTCGACATGTCACTTGAACCAAGCGTCGCTTGGAATACACGCAGACGTGGCTAGGTGGCCAACGGATGAAGTAGTTACATGAACTGCAAAGAACATTTCGAGGGGCTAAACGGAGTATATACGGAGTACGGAGTAACTAGTTAACTAACTATTAAACTAACTGATTAAGTGACGGCTGGGTAATGGTTTGTTTTGACTCAGAAGGTGAACGTGACGGAATCGTGCTAGATCCGTGGCCGGCTGGCCTAATGGTAAGGCGTCTCTTTCCGGTGAATCGAGGTTCTGGAATATGGAGAAGATTGCAGGTTCGAATCCTGCGTCGGTCGGACTCTTTTTCGGCGCCCTAACATTTTTTTTAGAGGGGACCACGCCCAACCCACAATGTCGTCTTCAGCGGCCGCTAGTAGCACCCACACAGCTATGATCATTGAAACTGTACTCTTATCACCGAGCTTTCAAATCTATTTCTCCCTCCGACAATGCCCCACTTAGATGTTCACGCTTCGCTCGTTGCATGCAAAACCAGCACTGCCGCCAGATGGGAGTTTCTCCGCGAGTTTGCGGAACACCGGGCCCTTTCAATCCCGATTGCAGACTTGTCTCCGCCGTCAACAATGCTTCATCAAGATCGGATTGTAGTAGCGGAGCAAAGATTGGGTGTCACACTGCCGGCGTCACTAAAAGCGGCCTACGAACTGCTAGGCCATCGGCCAGATCTCACCTCGAATCAAGATACTTTCTTGCCGCCAGAAAAGCTTTACATTGATAAACAAGAAAACCCCCACAAAACAAACAAATATCTTGTATTTCGTACGGAAAACCAAGGCGCGGCCGTTTGGGGTATACAGGTTCCCGTTTTGTGCGCCGATCCGCCTGTTTTCATGTGCCTTACCATGTCAGACGAGCAAGCTGACCAGTGGCACCAATGGGCTTCCTCCTTCTCCGAAGCTCTCGTTGAACTCGTGCTATCTGAAGCCATGCATGATCCCACTTCTCTCACATATACCAGCTTTGAGGAATGCGACAGGTTAGAGCTAGAGCGGCGGTTCAAAAGACTTCCGTTCCCACAATATCACACCGAGTCACAATGCACGTTTTCGTGGTATACCCATGGTCCAGACCTATTACTCCGTTACGACGGCTCAGAAGTAATGATTCGTGCCCGAACAGAGAATTCTGTGCACCAGTTGGAGAAAGAACACAGTGATATATTCACTGGTTTGGTGCCGAATGGCTACTTATGACGATCCAAACAGACACCGGGACTGCGGTGTAAATAGCCGGATGGAGTGTTGAGTCATTTTGCTTTGCAGCAAATCTAGCTTTCAAAGAAGTGTTGTCTAATACCGATTGCACAATAACACGCCAAATGCAAGAAGCCAGAATGCGTAAATCCTATGCAAAGCGAAGATATAGACGATAAACACACCGGCCGCCAGAGACTCGGGTTAAAAGGGCAAGACAACATTTGAGGCAGGCCTCAGTTACATTAATAGGCGCCAAGCACCCAATATCAGGGCCGCTGTGCCTGTGCAAACTCCCCTGTATTAAGTAGACATGTTAGTAACCCTGTAGATAAAGATATCATGGTAGAATAAATAAGGGAAAAATCTGTAGCGAATAGAAACACATACATCAGCCATTGCAAGGTAGAAAATTTAACAGCTTCTACCCTCTCTCTTAGCCCAGCAACCTCTTGTTCGATTCTCGTTTCAGTTTCTTTTATTCTCATTTCCTGCCCATTTGCCTCTTCGCGGATCCTGCCCTTTTCAAGATTAAGATCCAATCGCACAGAAGCTTGTGTGCGAGTGATTTCATCGCGAAGACGGGAATTAAGCTTAGCTAAATCTCCCGCAATTCGATCATGCGAAGATCGAGTTAGCTGAGCCTCTGTGGAGTCAGAATTTAGCAACTCGGAGCGGAGTTTGGCAAAGTCAACTTTCTGTGTATACGCAGATCTTTCGGCATCTGTGCGTGAGTTAGCCGTGATTCTCGGCCATATAAAACGTAGAAATAAGCAGACGGGCCTACCTTCTCTCAACACCATCGTTCTCGTTAGATTTCGTATCGACTCTTCGATAACATCATTGAGCACTCTCATAAGCGCCACAGCCTGCTCTTCACTGAAACCCTCACTCTTCAACCTCTGAACCAGCTTCAGCGTATCAAACCTATGGTCCTTCTGCTGCGTCGACGATACATGAAATTCGCGGCGTGCGGGTTTGAAGGCTGAAGCATACACTCCGTTATGTCGAATTGGAGCAGACCTGGCTTCGAGTTCCCGGCGCGCGGTAGGGAATGGAGTAGTAGAGGTGGCATGCCGGAGAACGTAGGGAGGTGAAATGGAGGCGTGGGCAGGGCGAAAGATCGCAGGCAATGGTTGCGCATGGATAGGGGAATAGAAACCATCCACGGGTGATGGTCGCCGGGCACCAGCGGGGAGGAATGGGCGCCTGGACGGTTGATGCGTAGCGCTAGGTCCGAAGAATAGACAAGGAGGGTGGCGGGAGGGAGCGGCGTGGGCGAGGGAAAACTGGGCCACGGGCTTAGATGTTGCCATAGTAAACCTGAACTGTTCGGTTCTAACTGTCAAAATTGAGGACCTCACAGCTTCTGGAGTATCGTCTATAAAGGAAATTAAACTCGAAGCCTTATAGAACTAGGCTACTGGTGAGTGCGGAGTACTCCGTACCGAGTACCTAATGTAGTACTCTAGGTACGCCGTAGTTAGTTGATGTGAAACTTTGTACGGAGTACTCTACACCGCTTGAACAGACTAGAAGGCTTGGCAACATCACGGGTACCATAGGTCATTAGGTAGTTATGGTACTCCGTACTAGCTAAGTGGTTACGTTATAAACACTAACGGAAGGTTTCTTAGAGCCCTTTTCCCTACAAAGTACGGAGTGCGGAGTATAAGACTCAATGATGCAAGCAGGAAAGCTGGCAACAGTTAGTTATGTGTAACTTTTTTAATTGACTAACAAACTATCTTAACAGTATCAAATAGTGAAAGTAATTCTCAGTCTACTTCATATAGGCCAAGCTTCCGCCCCTCGAAGACCACAAAGCCACTGCCAATGCGCGTTTCCCTTATCCCTCATCTAGATTGGCTGAGGGTTCCAAACGAGTTCTTGTAGGGGCTTGCCGTCGGCAGCCAAGAGCGCGAATTCAACCTCGCAATCAACAAGGCCGTTAATGCATTCTTTAGCAGCAAATTCGCGATGCTTCTGGCATGCCTTGTCCCACCCGGTGCTGCGACACATGTCTTGTTTTCCCCTACTACATCCCGCCAATGCTGTTTTCTCGCACTTGCCCCTGACCTTGGCTCGGAAGGTGTGGGTTTCCCAGCTGCATCGCTTTCGCGGGCCACAGGCGAGAGTGTCTGTGATTGTTCTGGTATCGGTGATTGTTTCTGTCTTGGTGTTGGTGTATCCCACTGTGACCTCACCGGAGCCATCACCGGCTTTCACAGCGAGTTTAGCCGTAATACTCCAGCCGCTCGACGCTGTTCTTGCAATAGCAGTCGATTTTGTGATCGCCAATGTAATTTTCTCGGTCTCGTCTTGGTTAACCCGGGCTTCTTCGACCCTGACGTCGGTGAAAACCAAAGCATCCGTAATACTAACAAGGTCATGACGCAAATACATCAGTGCCCGCGCGCTGCACCCGATAGGGTTTTTCCCACTTTTGCATTTACCAAGTCCCGTAACAATAGGGTCGGATTCGGAGAACGGATGGCCCGAGGTTCCAATCTTGCTGGATAGGATAACTCTTCGCAACGACTGAAGTCGAGTCTCCGTTTTGTTGGCAATAGCAGCCTGTCGTCGAGTGTTCCCGCTCATCTTGTCGAGGGCATCCAACTCGGGAGACGAGTTGACGACGGTATACTCGTCCGTAGAAACAGCGGCTCGTCGCTGGAAGCTACCGCTCAATTTGTCGAGAGCATCCAATTCCGAGGATGATGAAACCACTGTATACACATCCGCTGGCTGAGTTCACGCCTCAGCCTGGGGAATTGCATTGCAATATGGGAGGGAGAACAAAGAGGCAATAAGCAAAAGGGGCACGGAAGGAATCATGGTGACAGATTTGTTTAGCAATGAGAAGCTCAAAGGCAGGTTAGAAAAGAGAATGTAAGAATAAAGCAGTGAAAGTTCTCTGAATTGATGGTTAGGACTGCAGTTTGGCTGGGAAGAGCACTCTTATATAGGTTGCTGCGATGGTGCAACTGTATAAGAAAGATTAGGATGGGTCAAACGCTTCTCACCAATCAATGATTTGTAGTCACAATTTTTTGCAAACAGGATATAGTTTCCAAAGGATGATGGCACGCATTGTACCAGTGTGCATGATACCAGAAATGAATTCACATGAGCTAAATTCTCATGATAGAAGACGAGCTTCGGATATAGCTTTTTAAGTAAATAGCAATCCACTTTCATATCGTAGTATTATTATACTTAATAATCTCAAGACCATACGTCTAGGCCCAACCCCTATCGCATAACTGGGCGATTCGTTAGGTTTTTGATTCAAATTGGATGCTCGATGTTACAGTAAATAGCTCGTACATGTAAACATCTGAGTGAAAATAGGGTAGTCCAGTTGAATTTCCCGCGAAAATCAAATCACAGTTTGCCGCTGTCTGTGGTATTAGGTTAGAGAGAAATATCAAACATTGCTATTTGAGCTTCCATTCTTGCTGAAAATTCCAGTATTTCAAAAAATATCCGTTGGCATTACATTACAGCTGTAGTTAAACAGCTTGTGGGTATTGGAGACACATAACGCCTCGAGCATCCGTTGTAAGCGACAAAAATACTGCAAACTATAGCAGAGGTAGGGAGTACCTGCAATCTGGAAATCTTGTACATAATAGGAACCTTTATACCTCATTATCTCCTTTATCACAAGTAATTGCAACAAGCTTGCGCCTAGTGTATATCTATCAAA